TCCTTAGGCCGAGTGATATGATATTCACTCTTTTTGAGTGATTTTTCACTCTTTTGCATTTAGAGAGTATTAACTCCAAAGGGGCTTGCTCGAAAGCTAAGAAACTTTTCTTTTTCATTAAAGCTTGACTTACAAATCATGTGAACCTGTGGGACACCATATTAGTGAATATGCATACACAACAGCGTAAGGAAAAAGTGTCATGATAAAGACGCTCTTGCTCTCATGAGGTCAACTACAAGCAAACCTGCTCCCAGTTTGTGTCTATCCAAATGAAAAGAGTTTTCCCACATACAGGCAATGCGTCAACGCGACCTCTCGTGAGTAGGGCCTTATATTAAATACTTTATTTGAAGCATGGTGAACACAAGGGGAGGGCGCTATTTGAAGTGGGTCAATTCGGAATAAACGAAATATTTTACCCAAAACTAAATAACGCCCTTTTATGGAAGATACAGTATGCATCTTGTAAACGAGAAAGCCATGATTTTAAGAGGGACCTCAGTAGTATGAATGACATTGGCAGTGACTTTGTCAGTGACATCTCCTATAGAGGGTTTGCGTGGCTGCCATCTTGCAGGCCAGTACTTTTATCCCACAGGGTATGCACAAACGAGGTTTCCCTCTGGAACAAAAGAACTGCCCTTTAAGATGGCCATCATGCGAAACCTCCATACTGTCTTGTTTGTGTTTGTAGCAGAAATGTTTTTAAGTATTCTTATTTTACACACTTCACTGAATGTCTCGTTTTTCTTATACACTCTCTTTCCTTCAGCCTTTGCTTTGTTTGCCATCGATTTCGAAGGGGAAATGTTCTCAGTCACACATCTCACCCCAATCACACTTTATAAACTTGACTTCCTCGTGCTTTCTGGACAATCAATGTCCCCACTGTTCGTCAAACATTCATCAAGTACTCCTACGTCTTGGCGGCGCAGTCAGCGTCCTCGTCTAGAGCAGCCGCATAGGAAAGTTCCAGAATTTCAGCCTTGTGTTTTACAGACAGTTATAAAGGCCTAACCGACGGGGAATTTTTCCTTCGAAGCAATTTTTTTGGCTTTCTCATCATTTTTTTACGTGCAGGATACAATAACGTTTTCCTCATAGCCAATTTTTTATGAAACAAATCCTTGTTAGTTTTTTGGCACATTGCAGATGTCTTTGTCCCCAATACCACCATTTTCCTGCTAATATTTCGACCACGTTCTTTCAATTAATGTCAGAGGTCTGCATCACGTCCTTCATATTCTTTCGCCAACCACGCCCGACACCTGCAGCTTCCATCATCATGATGCGTGGGCATGGCGTCGATGTGGCTATCTGAGGCCGTCCACAGCAGGCTGTTTAGTCTACATGACCGGAACAATGTCGCACTTGAGCGTGTGGCAGTCTGCACATTCATGGTTCTCGCATACGTCATTAATGACGCATTGGCGTGCCTTAGCGAAGCATGAAGCGAAACAACGCCGCGGGTATTCCAAGGGGGAGTGTTCCCAGTTCAGGGGTATGCTCATGTAATTAGTATGCATTATATTGAGAGCTAATTTAACATGAAACTTGTCTCTTCTTTTTCCATTTCAACTCCTAAATTCAAAAACTGACTTCTAAAATTAATGAAACCGTCAAAATTAAGTAGTTAACAGACACCGATAGCAATTCCGGAACGTGGACATTGCTTTGGCCCCTCTTCGTCAAGATGACTCGGGAGATTGTTCCTTTTTTCTCCCACTAGGAGAACTCCTTCGAGCTGGATTATTGATGATAATTTCATGTACTGTTCTTCTTCATTTTGCCACGGATAACCTCGAGCCCAAAATGCCTCTGAAACTGTCTTTCAGAGAGGGCAAAACATTGTGTAGACGTGTGCGAGTCCACACAATGCCATCATACCCTACATTATGCGGACTTCTTTTGTGCAGAGGTCCACACTATGTATGTCCACAGGAGTTGCAATTGTAAACATCATGTCTCCCCTCCTGTCGAAATTAAAATGGATTAGCAATCAATCATCCAGTGGTCTTTATACTCATCTATCATTTTTATCATTAAACATTTTAATGGTACACATTGAAGCAATGAAATCCTCTTAAAATGATTTAGATTTTTTCCTTTGTTTTAAAAACTTAGCTCGGTGACAGCTGCAATGGCTATCTGGATACAAATTCTAGATTGTCCACTTACTTACAAGTGAGCAAACATCGGGACTCACCCACCCAACGTTCCCGTGAAGCGGGCATTTTGCAATCATCTAAGTATCCTTATGAAACAATGAGTCCTTCGTAATTTGTGGGTTTTACCAGCGGGGGAGCCTCGAGCGGGCGAGCCCACCGCTGTCTCGCTGATGAAGCACTCTCCAGACAATCCCACGCATTGCACCTTTTTCTGAGTTCTGTGTCCGACGGGGGTTCAAGGGCCGCTGATAACATCGCATGTCCACAGACGGGACTGACATTTCAACAGACACTTGTCTGCTGAAGGCGTAGCCTGTTTTCTTTCAATCATATCGTCTGCTTGACGGCGGGAAACCCCAAGCGTGATCAGATATTTCGAAAATCGAGTCACTAGTAAATTGAAAATATCGTTCGGCCGTTTTCGCTAAAAAGATCCACACAAACACCTTTACTCTTTTTATTTCAGTTTATATAACATTCGGTATATCAACCTCCTTTAGTCAGCTTCTAAAAAAGAGCAATTACTGATGCATCAACGTTAATATTTCTACAAGTTTAAACGTGAGCCTTGCAATTTACCGAAGATGTAATTGTTACCGCTAACGCATGGTACACGAAGAAATTGATACTTCAATTTCGCAGGTGTTGGCGGCAGGCGTTTGAATAAATTTGCCCATCTCGGACTTCATTAGACATTAAGGCACACGCGCCCAACCGCACCACTCACTTCAATTCCACTGACATTTCCCTCTCGACTCGAGCTGTTCAAAAATCGACGGAGAAATGACATCCTGTATCAACTTGTCAACATGAAAGATGAATATTTCATACGAAAATTGATTGTTATCCTGTGAATTGAAATGGTTGCCAGCATTTGTAGAGGAATTAGACGAACATTATATATTCATGAATTAGGGGTTGTACAAGGGCTCTCGACTCAAATTGGAATTACGGATGGAGTTTGCGGTATTGCGGTAAATTCAATGTATTTTATGAACGAATGTTGTAAATTATCAAAGGATTGGATTTAGTGGTGAATGTTCTTCATCCACTTTTGGCATATATTTATTTACGTATCCCATGTTTTTCTCGTGTATTAATAATATAAAAATCATTTTTCCTAATTCCTCAATTTTTTCTCGATTCCGAGATTTGCGAAAGTGGATTTTTAATCTTGTTTTTTTTTCGAATTCTTAACTGATAAAATGTCTATTTCTAAAAGTCTATGTTCAATTTATCTGCGGCCAAATCATTCGTATACTGTTGTCACGTTTTCCCTTTACGTGGGCCTATTTTTCCATAAATAATCTGCAAATGCATACGTGTAACATCGACGGCCCTTGAGATTTGTGATCACCCGAGTGTAAATATATACGTTTGCTCTATAAATATCCTATAAGTTTGGGACAGGGAATGTAACTTCAGATGTTGTCGTTGTCTATGGGAAGGCGTACGGTGAAGCACTCAAGGCGGTTGTTGCTGTTATTTTAGCCAACGGCTGTTTCCTGTGGGGCATTAAAGCGATCAGGAGAATTTTCAGGAAGGCCAAGGTTGCTTCAGGAATAAAGTAATAATTTTTAATTCGAACGCATCACATGAGCTTCCTAAGGCCTTGCGTGCACTCATAAAATAGTAAAACAAATATATTGATGTTTCTTTTCTAGAAAAACAAAATTCACCAGATTCCAAGCAGATCGTTGTGCTTTGCCAAACCGGAGTGTCTACATATTGATAACAACAAATACGCCCAAGGACTTTTGACTATCATTACTGTACTGATTATTCTAAAGAACCATCAAGTAGCATGTCACCTTGGAGCGTCATCACTTTTTCGGTTGTTGTGAGCAAAGTGCGGATTTCTCTTTTTAAAAAATTCAAAGAAGGATCCATTTTCCCATTGGATTTGCACGTAGCATTTCTAGTAGCGACAATAAGTGTTCCTGTTGTCATTTTAAAATGGCAAAATGCCCTCAGGAACGAGTTGCCTTCATGCACCGCTGTTATGTGCCATTAATATGTATCTTGGTCATGAGCGTGTATCCACGGTCTCATGGCACGGGTCGAACTAATCCCCACCTCACGAACGAAGATAACGACTCTTCCCTACGGCACTGTACACGGTGAAGCTTAGAATCCAGGCTAACAATATTACTGTGTCCTTTTGCGACCAATGTTAGGTCCCAAATGCGATCTGTTTGTCATGTTGGAAACAACTCAAAAGTAACCAGTATTTTCAAGCAGTAACTGCAAAGTTTCACTCACTGTGCGACTATTTGTCAAGATGAGCTATAGTCATCATCTTCAATATACATAATCAATATTTGATGAGTAGACTGGTTAAAGGAATTTTTTTATTGCATCTAATTTTCAAATCATCACTTGGAATACAGTTGACCTTTGCCGACAAGGTTGGTTTGACCAAAGTGAAAGGATTAACTTTTCATCTTGACAAGATGATGGTTTATTCGACGGGCTGGTGGCGTGTAAACAGTATTCCCCTTTGCTAGTAATATACATGTATAGATCTGAGCAGTGTCTTTCTCGATGGCAGCATTTAAAAATTATAAAAACATTAAAATTGTCAAAATATTTCAGTAGGATCCTACGAATCATAACATGCGTTTTTAAAAAATGGACGTGCTTATTAATCACTTTGAATTGTATTCTTTGGTTCCAAAAACAATTCTGTACTGTCGTTGTTTCTTAACTCTAACTTTTAAATAACTAAACAAATTCAACACTGTTCTTTTATGCAAAGTAGCTATGGACGACGTTTGGGTTAATTAGTCACTATTACACTTCTTGACTCCTTATTGTTTTTTATTTCAGCCAAGATGAACTCTACGTGCTTTGGCAGAAGCTGCGAAACGACGAGCCGGAACTACTTTTGGTATTTCAGAATTTCCTCCGCAAGGCCGTGTCTGAGATACAGAAAGTGCACGACAGCTGCGACACCTTAGTTAAAACGTGCGTTGAATTTCCTCTGCACCGCCTTCGTCAGACCGTAAACACAACCTTGAAAGTGCACGCATTTTAAATCAAGTCAATAAACAATGTTTTCCTCAAGGACTCTGCCCCCAAAAAAGCATTGTGAAAAGCTCAGCATTTGAGTCTAATTTTTTCTATGAAACCTTTTTTTAATTTAAAAAGTGATGGCGAAGCCTATACATCAAAGAAATGTGATCTATTGTTAAAGGTTTTAAGTTGCTCTAGTCCTTCGAAACATGCCTTTTTCGAGTAGGATTTCTAAAATGTTTCAGGCCAACGCTATCCTGAATTTCTGAATTTGTGATCGATAATACAGTTGTGCACTTTCAGGTTTATAACACCTCTGAATTTTGTGCTTTCCAAAATGCTTTATTGTAGATTATTGTCTCATGTAAGCGACCTAATCAAAATATTTTCTAAGTTTAAAAAAAACGAAAGGATTTATTTTCTGATACATTTCATGTTTACAGTAAGAATGGGATCCACACAGACGAAATGCGTCGGTTGTATGAAGAAATGGAGCAAATCTTAGCACAGGAAAGAGAATCACTGAAAATGAAGGTAAGGGCTGGAATGAACGTCAGTGCATCAGTGGTCGAGTTCGGGCGGCCTGTTCTTGACATGGGTTTAGTGTTCTCGCGCTCGAACGGTGGGAACACGACTCAAGAACACTGTTCGCGGAACAGAATCATACACCACCTCCTCGTCAGGGCTTTACAGGAACACACGGAAAAACTCGTGAGATTTTGATTCTTGAACAGCTGCAAAAAGTAGAGAGATGGCTTCCAAAGCCATAGACAATGGGAGGTTTTGCAAAATTAACATAAATTATTTTCCGTAACACAGAAATCAATGACGCCACCATGTTGCATGTTGCTTGTCACTAACGACCAGCGACAACTGGTTGTTTGTTCCCGGCGTTCGAGCGGCCGACCCACGAACAACAAATCGAGCTGTTCGTGAACATACGGGAACAAGCCGCCCGAACTCAGCCAGTGTGTTTAAATTGTTCTCACAAACTTGACGTGCTCAATCGAATACGGTCGTTTTACAATAGTGCGCCACCAGGAGTTTGCAACGCGTTGGCCAATCACAACACGCGTAATTTGTCGACCCAATGCGCGTTTAAAAGGGTCGACAAATTTCGGGCGCGATGCAAACTCTTGATGGCGAACTATGGTGAGTTAGTTGCCCGTAATCTCTGAGACCGTATCAGGGGAAAAAGTCTTTCTGACTCATGGTGCGCAGCAGGGAGAAGAGGAAATTACGAGAAACGTGGATCCATAAATTGTATTCCATTTTTCTCATTTGATCCGTTCTGCGGTTGGTTTGTGTGTTTCTGCTAGTACCAAGAGGAGTTGCAAGCGGAGATGGACAGATGGTTGGAAGAGAAGGATCTAGAAATGAAGGAGATCCTACAGAGAAAGAAAGAGGTATACCGTAATTTTTTATGACATGTAACGCTTGCTTTGCCACAACTTGTACAATCGCCTGGTGTAAGAGACTTGGAGAGGCTTAGTGGTAGCAGACAAACTGGTCCTTTTTGCCAGTTCTGGGCATGCGCGCGTAACTTTTGGCATGCGCTTTAGTTCTGAGCATGCGTGCAACTGTGGAAAACAGTGCTCACAAAGTAGTAGTTAGAGATGGCAGGCTTATTCTTTTACGTTACGCAACCATAGTCTTCTACGTGCATGAAGCTTTTTTTTATATTTCTGACGTCATCAATTCAGATGCGTGTCACGTTTTATCAGTGCACTCGTCCGCAAGGTTCCACGTTGTTCGTTCATTATTGGACAATTTCTACTTATGATCAACATTGTTCCCATGGGTACGATCTTGCCTCACCATGATGGTTTCCACCATGCCATGCGTGATCTAAGCCCTGGTATTGAATAACTTAAATATCCCACTATTTGGGATATTTAAATTAGGACTTTATTCATTGTGTTTACACGTGACGCAGATTTACGCATGCGTGACGTGCAAGAAAATACGTGGGCGCGACCGTGCAGCATTTGAAATACCGTCGTTATTGACTTTACGTTTATGCTATTCATCCTGAATAGCCAGACAGCATCATTTTGTATACTACACGACCAGGGGCTGGTGAGGGAACGCGCACACAGACCATGCGGTCGAGGTTGACTTTTGATCTCTTTGGTGGAAAAGGAAGGGTTTGTCTGCCGCCACCAAGCGTCCCAATGTCTCCCAACGGGGCAATCATCAGAGACGATTTCTGTCGCTTGACCGTATAACTTGACTCAAATCATTTAAGTTCAACAAGTGACCCGAGGGCGTCCTTGGTAGTTTCCAAAATTCCTCCGTTTTGTGACAGACGTCACACGTACCCTGCCCGACCCCGTACCCGTGGCCTACTTCATCTCCACCCATGATTTGGAGAGCGGGTAGCGAGAGCATACTGCGCAGACACCGTAGGGACGAGGTTGCAGACTTACTGCGGACACAGTCTCTTGGTGGCAGCAAACACCGTTCATTAAACGCCCTTTAAGGCTGCATCCGAATCTGTTGTCTATAGAGCTAGGTCTGGGTTTTCGCTTCATTGGAAAAGCGCGGAGACGCGCAGACAATAGACCTAGCCGTAGCTCTTGAAGCCCATTTCGGACACAGCTGTAGCCTTGCCGGAAATCAAATGGCGGATTTTTTCAGAATGTGAAATGATTTATATGTTTATAAATCCATGCAATCCATGCTTTCCATGTTTTACTCTTCTACAGCTAGAACAATCTTTACAGGAATTGGACAGGAAAGAAAAAGAAAAAAGTCTGCATAATCAACAGGTAATCTCTTTTACAGATAAAAAGATAGACGTGGCCTCATTCGGTTTACATTTTATAACATGTGAAATGATTTTGCCACCATACGCTCCTCTTCAAAATTGCATGTGCTCCCCTGTACGGTGCTGAAATGAATTATACGTGATTGGCCTAATTGTGTGGCGCCTCAAAGCTCCGGTATCTCGCTGATTGAATTAAAGTGGAACCTTACCTGTACTTTTTCGATCCTGTCACCGTGGTGTAACTAACCGCACAGACGCGCAAAATGCCAGCGTCACTTCACTAAACAATTAGAATCGCCGACGCAATCGTGGGTTCACCCATTCCGCGGAAATTGCTCACACCCTGGGATTTCTCGAGGTTTCCTGGGAGTAAGAAAGTAATAATTAGTACGTGAATGCGGGAGAGAGGGAAATACCTCAAGGGATAATGAAATTGATGAAGTGGAAACGCCAGGAAAGGTTTTGTAGAATCACCGATTTCTTATCAAATTCTGTTGGCGCTTTATGACGTTGGTACCAACGGAGCCTTCCCACGCAAAGAAATTTTAAAGGACTTCTTCTGATGTTTCAAATCACATGTTCAGAATCCATGGAATGCAGGGTGTGAATAGGCCTAATTGTGGGTACAACACAAAGATAAATGGTCTTAAGACCGAGTCGCTTCACGGACCTGTTTTATATTCAACAATGTTCTTGAAGTCCTTTTGGAGGATTTTTCTTTGAAAAAAATATTCTTCGACGAAACTGTCAACCAGGGACTCGTTGACTCGTGCAAATCGTTAGTTATATGTCATGAGTTCTATGCAATAACATTAATAGATTTGAAGTGCATTATACAGAATGTGACTTTTTCCGAACAAATGGATTTTACTGTCGCCAAGTCGTTCTGCGCTTGATATTTAAGTTTCAGCCCAAGTGTTTTTATCATTTTATTATGTATAATGCATTCATTCATGATTTTACTGAGCGCAACTGACTTTGGTAAAGCCTCCCGTTTCTCATAAAAAACAAATCGCGATACTTTTATAAATAACGCAGAGAGTTTTTCTGAAGTGCAAAGCATGCGCCAAATATATATATATGTAACCCAAGAAACGACATGACCGCTGAGTTTAGTGGGAAAACATTTTGATTAATCATGGAGCGTTTCCATTGCTCCCTCTGGGTTCCAGTAAGATGGAATTTTAGAAACAGAAAAACAAGTTTGAGGGATTAAATTGCCAGAAATATTTTTACATGGCATTCTAACGCCTAGTCTGCAAGGTAAAACCAACCACCACGGGAGATTTAGACGGTCGTAGACTTATGATCTTTAGGATAAAGCAACCGCGTGGATTTCAGACTCATTTTGAGTTTTTAATTATTTTCTTTTCGATTTTGCGCTGAGCTGCCAGTGCAACTCGTGAAAAGGTCTCGCGTACAAAAACTTCAGTTTGGCAACATTTCTCCTTTATCATTACGTCGAAGCTTATGTTCTTCAAGGGAAACGTGGGTTTGAAAAAGTGTTGCCTAATTCTCAAGACGGACGTTTTCTGGGATTTTGCGACTTGTTTAGGAATATATACGTGCAGAAAAGCTGGAATCGATGCTTTTGTATTTTGGTACTACCGTCAAAAATCCCACTTCTTCAGTATTTTTTAAAATGAACATTTACTTCAGCTTCAATTATGTAAGTTAATTTACATTATCAATTCAAATCATGGTCACTTCTTTCACAACTCGCTGTCTCGTTTTCAGCTCGAAACCATGGTGATGGAGTTGAGTCGACATGAAGCTAACATCGTGGCTGAAAATGAGGATCTCGTCAAGGTTGGTTCGGTGTCTATTCTACCAGCCATTATTCTACCAAATCAAAATCAAATTAAAACAATCCCATTCATGCGCAGCCAAACTAACCAAACATTTCCTGGCCAAATAAACTGACCAAAATAAAAACAGCTGAGCACACTGCGTTGTTTTAGAGAATGTGCTAGAAAATATTAGCTGGTTCAGTGTTTTCGTGGCTTCGGAATTTGCTTGGAGACCCTGTCCATCATTTTCTCTGTCTTTGTGAATGCAAGCTCTCTGTCGGCGATGTCACATAATGTTCAGCGACAAACCTTGAGACATTCGTGAGACGCCATTACTGAAGTGGTTTCCCTTATAATCTTACTGAAAGTCAGATGGGCAATGTCAGTCGAGAGCATAGTACGCGCACGAGTCGGGTATGGCAGCGTTGATAGGACAGACCTGCGTGCATACGCATGTCGGTGTTCCGGAATGACCTCGAACGCGCTTCACTTAGGTCATGCGCTGTGGGAATACCGAATCGGCTCATTATCGCTTATATTGCCTGCATTTAGTGCTGCCGGAATGTTGGCTTCGACGTCAATTGTAAAAAAGAATTTACTTGTATATTTCCATGTTTGGCTGGTGTTTTTATCCCAAGGAAAATTCACAGTTGCGCATGCGCCTTGACCAGTCCCTGGCGGGGCTAAATGAAACCCAACAGCTCTGTCTTCAACTACAAGAAGAAACAGAGCGAGAGAGGGAATTCATCGAGAGGTATGTCCGAAGGTAGCTATCCCCGACGACTGTTTTCTTCTCTTTCCATCGGCCAAGATGCTCAGAGAACTAGCACCATGCAAGAACCGCATCTTTTGTTTGATCATAAAAAAGGCAGCTAAATTTCTTTCTCAACTGTGCTTACACGTAAAACGCAAATTCTTTTTTTAATGTTTTCCGAATGCTTTTTTTTTCTTCAGTTTTCTGTTATTAAAAGGGAAAATGAAAGTGGCGTATAAAATGCCTCTTGTGTAACCCTTTGTTTTCATTCCCACAAAATATGTGTTCTTACACGCCACCGCTTTTATTTCAAAGTTGCAAGTTTATCTTATGTTGCGATATTTTCAAACAAACGACACCGAATATTTTTGTGTCCATTATTTTTGGCCCTTGGAAAGTGTTCCCTTCCGTCCCTTCCTTACATTCAACTCTTTACAAAAATACATCAAAGAAAATCGGGGGGAAAAGAATGGTTATTCAACTCATTTCGCTTCGCTGGAGTATTTGAAAATGCAAGAACCAAACACTTATTTACCGTGAAGGTTTGTCATGATTTCTACACGCCAACGTGCTCTCTTGCGTGATGAATTCACTCCTTTCTTTTAAACGTGCTAATGTGAGGCCGAACGTCTCGGCGATTTGCTTACGACCAGGAGTAACACGTGCCTGTGGAAGTTGATAGCTAGTGGCTAATGCTTAATTCCGTAGAGTCATGTGCTGTAGGGCAAGCCGTAGCCAAGTCACTCTGGGCAAGATGCCAGGACACATGGCGCCCTCAGTTGTTATGTGTTTGTAGTTCCATTTCCACCCACGTTATCCAGTCTGTTGCCCCCAACCAAGACATTTTTGTTTTTTCGCTTTAACCAACACGCGGTCATATATAGGATTGTCTAAAAGCAGAAACTTTTATTGCACTAACAATTCTGAGGGATAAATACCAGCAGTGTGGTAAACAGGTAATGTTATTCAAAACACTATATGGATTGCTGGCGGTGTCAAAACCACACGTGATTAAATCGAACAATGCCACAGTGCCGTTTAATTTACTGGCCTCGTTTGTATAATACAAAGTCTTTTTATAGATATATATATGAACAAAAAAATCTTAGATTTGCTGGGAAAATAGTAGGGAAAATGTCAAATGCTCTCCTGGTCACTTGATAATACTGTGAATATAAGATGACAGTCCAGCGGGACAACCATTGATTCTTACCCAAACCCATCAAATCAGGCGGGAATTGTAATAAGCTGGAGGTAAATTCCATGCACGGCTTACGAAACAGACGATTTTGTCAAAACAGCACTGGCTTGGGAAAATGGAATGGAATTGGAAGTGATTGTAAATAGTTTACCTCGATTTGCATTATCATTTACGCTTCATCTCCTTTCCCTCCCTTTTGCCACCCTTCTTTGCAAATATTTTATCGTAAAATATGTAATATTTTTGAGCGGTCACCTGAAAAAAGTGGTAATTATAAGTGCAGTTGACCTAAACGAGGTGTTGAGCTATTTGAAATTCACTGTTCTACATTACAAAATAAAATGCAGTTTGCTTTGGAAATAACCATCGAGCTTTATGCATTGCTGGCGTCGCCATGTTGTCTCAGAGGCTATTTTCGTTATTTTAATTCAGTATAACGAACTCACAAAAGGTTTACTCGAGCCTGTCCAAGTGATACAAAACTGTTGCCCTCTGGGAACATCTACACTAAGACTGGTTGATTGGGTTTTGATGCAACGAGACGGTAACGGAGTGTACTTTTTTCACGTGGCCGCACACATAACAGCAATGATTGGGCACTCTCAAGTCATTACAGAGTGTATCTCATCAAAAAACACTCAAGAAATTATGTTGTTCTTATTATGCTATTCAATTATTTTTTGAGTTGAGATTTCTTCTCCATAAAATAGTAAAATTGCTTTTGCTGCATCATTTTCAAGAGCTACAGAGCTTTGATTTGCTGCTCTTGGCAAATATCAAGGAGCAACTTTAAGGCATTGAGCAATAATTTTCAATTCCCTTCAATCATCGCATCAGAGAGTATGCTGAGGTAGTACGAGAACAAGAAAGAAAGTCACGTGACCGCCAAAGCCTTGAACTCCAGCTCGAGAAACTCAGGTACGTTTTTTGTAATATTTAAGATTCTACCTTAGCATGTAGCTTCATAATTATATGAAAATGTCGTTGCTTGATGTCACTTTTTTTCGGAAACAGTTACAGAAGGATATACTTTATCATGTGCTTTTACTGATCGCTCAAGAATTGAGAAATTTAAGGCTTCATTCAGGATGAAAATGAGAGTGCTTTAGTCGCAATCGATTGAGGACTGCATGAAAAAATCCTGTCTCCAGAGTTGAGTTTCTATGGCCAACTTTGGAGGCAAAATGATTTCTAATCAGAAGATGTCACAACTCTGTGACTGGAGCATGTAAATAGCTTCATTTACTGAATGTTTTTGTGCCATGGTCAAAGTTTTCTAATCCTTGCTCAATGTATGTGAATATGACCACGCATTTTGTTCCGAGTAGCATCTTCCTCAAGCCGTCTAATATGTTTTACAGGGAGAAGTACGAGAACCTGGTGGAAGATAACTACGAGGTTCGTCCAAGGAGGGTTGGCGTGATGCAAATGAGCCGCGTCAGCAGCTACAGCGACTGTGAATGCGACCAGCAAATGCAGGTAACAGAGCCAGATGTAAGAAACGCTGTTTATTTCTTTTGCTATTAAAATGGAGGCGATTCACAAAAGTGCACCACCAAGAGTTTGCAACGCGTTGGCCAATCACAATGCGCGAAATCTGTCGACTAAATGCCCGTTCGGAAAGGGTCTCCAAATTTCGCGTGTTGTGATTGGGCAACGCGTTGCAGACTCTTGGAGGCGCACTGTTGTGAATCGGCTGTATTTGCTTAATTTTGATTTGCATGTCTGTTGCTTACGTGGTTTGCACGAGTCGTACATCAAGCTTTAACCGGGTTTTCCTCTTTGCTTCAAAGGCATTCTTAGGTATTTCCACAAAATTGCTCTGTGTGACGTATTTTACTGATTGTATTTTATTACTACAAAACTTTACAGAAAATGTTCTGGTGAATATTAAACCTAAGATTCATATCGTAACAGGGTTTATCAGATTATCTGAAAAAAATTCATGCAACATTGTGATGCTGTTAAAATGCACGATATTTCAAACACATATGAAGGATTTCTAATTGTTACATGATGTGCTTCTTAATTTCGAAATAAACTTTGGAATGATGTATATTGTTCCTCTTATCTTTGGACATGACAAAAAGCTTTGTCAAGTTGTGCTTTGTAACTTTGGCATTTATGTCATGTCTGGGCAGTTTCTTCAGCTGCGGACGCCAGACCGCTGTTTCAAGGTCGTCATGTGCGGTGATTCGGGCGTTGGAAAGACGAGCTTCCTACAGCGCTTCTGCCACAACACTTTCTCAGACAACCCGCAGGTCACCATCGGTAAGTTCGACTTGCGCAGCTGTTTCATCTCCTAAAAATGTTAGCAGGAAACGAACGATTAGACTTGAACAATCAGGGTGTTAATTTTGTTCTTAGAATCCGCCCTGAGCTGAAGTGCACCCTCACCGGCGAAAGAAAGGCAACAGGTACTTAGTTTTCCAACGGGGCTCTAGCACGCGTTCGGCGTGCACGCGAAGACCACACATCCTAGACTAATATCGTTGCGTGTACTCGGCGTGCTCTGCGTCAAACACTCATAAACTTATGCACCTATGCGGTGCATGAGTGCCAAAGGACTGTCAATTTCGTTTCAAAACACGCCCTCTTTTGTTCCTGCTCCGAGCGGATAAACTGTGGAAACAAGACAGTGTTAATATTTTAACGCCTTTTGCACGCCTTCCTACCCACACTTTATGAACGTGTCATGGCGTTCAGAATCCGAAGCTGAAATTTATGGTCTTTATTTCTTTAACAAATACGTGTCGATGTAATAATAATTGGCTGTTTATAACAAGACAAAAACATGTTTGTCGGGTAGTGACACTTTCGGAACACCGAAACATGCTTATTTCTAAAAGGTTAATTTTAAACGGTTACATGTTTAAAATTAACGAAACTTTTTATTTTCCTTGCTTTGCTTTTATGTACAACTCTAATTTTGTTGTTTTGGTCAAATAAATCATCATCATAATAATACCAAGGCGAATTTATAATGTGTTTCTGCTTTACAGTATAGAGGTTTATATTCAGCACTTAGCATTGTATTTTTTTTACCCAGAAATCGGATTTCACATGAAGTCCCTAGTACTGGATAACTCCGTCGTGTCGTTACAAATTTGGGACACAGCAGGCCAGGAACGGTGAGATCAGAGTATTCAACTCCGTCTATAGTCTCTGTGCAGAAAAGAAATTCTCCTCTTTGTTGCTAGGGGAAGCTTGCCTGCAGTGGTGCCTGTGAATTGATTTCACACAGTTATCGAGCCAAGGGGAGTTTTGTCTGCGTTCAGATGGAAAACATACTAGAGTTACCAAAGTGACATAGACTTTCTGAGACAAGTTCAGAAAAGGAGCGTTAGCGTAATTATATCGTTTCAATATTTAGGGTTCGTTGACGTTTTTATGCAACCGATAAATAACACTCGGTCTGTCGTTCAGTATGCCCAATTTGTCTTTAGGAGAACTGAAATCTCACTTCTAGGCTTGCCAGGATAAAAAAAAAACATTTTTTGTCTTTTTTTCGCCGTCAAGATTCCGTAGTATTCCACATGCGTACTTCAGGAAGGCGGACGGCGTTCTGCTTCTGTATGATCTGTCCTGTGAGAAATCCTTTCTGAGTGTCAAGAGTTGGATTGCGAGTATCAGGGTGAGTTTCATCTTCAGCAGCAATTTGTATTGGCCAGCCGACCAAGGCTTGCTTGTTGGTTGGCTGGTTGGCTGGTTCACTGGTTGGTAGCCTGGCTGACTGGCCAGCTGGCTGGCTGGTTGGCTTGCTGGCCGGCTAGCAGGCTTGCTGGCTTGTTGGCTGGCTAGCTATCTGTTTTTTTGGCCAGCTGGCTGGCTGGTTGGCGTACTTGCTGGCTGGCTAGTTGGCTTAATGGCTGGTTGGCTGGCTTGGTGGCTAGCTAGCTGACTTGTTGGCTGCCTGGCTGACTGGCTGGCTGGCCAGCTACCAGGCTTGCTTTTTGTTTGGCTGGCTTGAAGGCTGCCTAGCTGGCTTGCTTTCTAGTTAGCTAACTGATGCCAGACTTAATGTAATTCAAGCTTTTTTACAGCTATGAGATAAGCTATGAAATTGGCGTACGTGACTTTAAATCAAGGTCAAATCTCGTTCAAGCACTTTGCTGATGACCATTAGTCACAGCTGGTTCGTTGGTCTTCGTATTGTTGGTCATGTCTACCATTTTGATCACATAGATTATAAACAGTAACAAAGTATTTGTACAAAGACTTGTACCACATTCCAGTCAACTACAAAAAGACTTTTTTTTTCTTACCTAATGTGCGAAAACCACATAAATCGCTTACTTATAAATATCGGCATGTCCAGCCATCTGAGTTATAGAACTGAAGATTTTGTCTTGTTTCTGTCGTTGCATGCTCAGGAGGTTGACGATGCAGCCACCATCATGCTCGTCGGACACAAGGAGGATTTGGCTGAATATGACCGGGAGGTTCCTAAGGAATTGGCTTACAACTGCGCGCAGGTATAAATTCCATCAATCAACATCTCAATTTCAACCTCTTTTGGAGAGATCGAACAAGCTGTGATGTGATCACGCAAGTAGTTGAGTCTGACCGACTGGACTTGTATTTTGTTGAGAAGCTACGCATCACATTCAAGCTGAGATCCATCATTACGCTGTCTGATCTTGTGGCGGCAACTATTCGCCTTAAGCAGAAGCACCCCCTCGTCGGTTGAAAAGAGCCATGTAGGTCGGGTGTGTTTATTTTGTTGGTAGCGACGCCAAAGTGAAACGTGCATTTCCTAGTCGTTCGTGAACCTGCTAAGTTCAGTTCCGACTAAACGAAACCTCCGTTGCTAAGAAACTAGCGCCCTCTCTTGGTCGAGCTCGAGGCCCATTCCTGACCTGTGACGGAGTTGAATTGTCACGGGCCGATGATACAGATGTGATACATGGAAACTTAAATCAAAGTAAATCCCGGTGGAATTAAGAGAACTACCTGGTTGACTGAGATTATTGATTAACTGAACTTGTTGTGATATGTAACTTAACTAGCAAAACTAAAAGACTTTACGAACATTTCACATCATCTTATCAACAAAATGGCCCTGTTTTCGTTTCTAGGAGAACGGTGCCTTGTTCATTGAAGCGAGTTCGAAAACGGGGTACAACATCTTCGAGACACTTGGAAAATTAGCTAGGTGAGAACGTTGTGGGTGCTGTTAATTTTCCGTGGAGACCTGCAGGTAAACTGTTGTGACGTAGGGATAAAACGTCTTGATCTACCGTAATAATGGTGTCAAGTTCAACTTTGAACTCCAAAACTCTGAAGGTTATGGTGTAATTTTTTCCAGAAAACAATGTCAGCTGTGTTCTGTTTATTGGGGGTTTTTTTTGATTGGTCATTAGTTCACAATATCTAGTCACCAGTCAACACACCCTACTCAGTTTCCTTGACTTCTGTATCCTTGAAGACATGCCATTGATTAGATTCATGGTTGCCGTGTCCGTCTAGCAAGCTTACAGACAAAAGAAATGTTTTGGCAAACCTTCATTACAGTCATTTCTTGATCTCAATTCTGAAGTTTAACTCAATCTTTGATCATTTTATCCGTCTCACAATTCTGAGAAGACCCCAAGGGCTCATAGGTCTCAGTAGCTTGTTAAATCTTTGTTCTCACTGAGTTCGTTTGTGCTGCATGTCCATGCATTTGAAAAGACTGTTTTAGGCAGTTGACAGAGGTGTGAGATAAGCCGGGACTTCAACGACAATGAAGGGTTCTGCTCACTGTTCCAGTTACCTTTGGAAGAGTTTGGATTCGAATTTGAAAAACCTGTTTCCACCCAATGTTGTTCCCATTGTGAATTGTTTCAGCAATTGTTGCCAACGTACTGTCGCTTAAAGAAGTTTCAGAAACTTGATTGCACCGAGTGGATCGGTAGACTCTTCTTGTGTTTAACCCTAACGCTTAGGTTTGGTATGTTATTACATTGACTCTTTTCCAGTCGAAGACAAGACTGTCAGGATAATTCCAAATAACCCTTAATCTTTCCCTAATTGTAAAATTGTAAACCATATTACTTCTGTAGGGAACTCCAAAAACGAGAGGACGACACCGTAAGCAGGGTATACACCGTGGAACTCAATGAGCAAATCATCTTCGCTCCATCCAAGAAAAAGTGTTGCACCATCTGAGACGTGACGTCATCGGCGTCCCGCCAACTCTTGCCCAATAAACAGAGCGTTTTAAGTCACGTGCCTACCAATATGATCAAATATATATCACTCTTCTGGTTAGGTAACACCATATGCGTGATAATTATTTATCTGAGCAGGGAAAACTTTGTGCTCATGTAAGAAGAGTTTCTTTTGTCTTGCTCGACACCCATATCTAGTAAGGGACAATTTAAAGGCGCGTTGATACTTCAGGCGAATGGTACCGCGAAGCGAATATGACGTCACGACAACTTTGCGGCGAAATCTCGTTTGCTTTGAAACATGTTTCTTTCACGAATTTGCAGCGCGAGTACGTCATCTGACGTCACAAATGTACGTTTGCATTCGCTTTCGCGCTAAGTATGAACCGGTCTTAACTCAGTAAATATAGGCCTATGTCTGACAAATATGAAGCTACCATTTACTGGTTTTATTTTCACATATGTACGGGAGACTTTTTTTAAGTTGGGTTTAGTCATTTCTTCTTTAAGTGAGAAAAATCAATGATCTCCCATAGATCTCAGTCTACACAATACTACTAAAATACAACTTGCGATTTCCGTCAGCAAGCCGTGCAGCGAATGCATTCGTTTGCATGGTCTCACCTTAATAACAATTATAATAATGAGAAAATTTATTTGTAAAATGTACTTATCCTAGTCACCATACCGATGAGGCGCTGATACTTATTTTGGTAAATGTTTTCACAGTGTTCTTGATACACCGAGCTGTTACATAGCCAACCATTGGCTAGGGGGAACAATAAGCAGTATTTTTACCTGCAAATTGAACGTGAGGCCAATTGATATTTAATGATGCGTTGATCTGTTTGGTCTCTGTTGAACTTTTACTGGTGGAATAAAAACAAATAAGAATAAATAAATAAATAAGAACAATATTTGGCACGAGATTCTCGCATTAAGAATTTAACGTGAAATTGAGAAATTTGCTTGCGCGCTGTATAATACAAAAGAGGCAGTTGGGCATTGATGAGCATGACCAATATGGACCAAATAAAGAAAGGAATATATTTTTTTCTGGCGAGATTCACACCGTATATATAGACGTCTCGAAGCACCCTGTGGCATATAAACTAAATGCATAGTGCCGCGCAGTATACATCTAGAGTAGGCCTATTTGTGAATAAGCAAGTTTTTGGAATGGTCTATCATAGGAGAGGAAAGATGCCTTAAATATTGTATATAACATTTATGTACATATTACAATTCATATTAAGAATGTACAGTAATATTTCAGAAACTTCGAGTACAAAATAATATTATTCTACCTGCGATATTCTACCACGCAGCGGAGTGAAGACTCATGTAAAAGACTCTCAAAGTTCACAAATTACTGACATTCACCCCCCCTTTCTTCATAATAAAGAAGATTAAGGAGAAGCATGTATGCAGTAACCCAGACTGTTGAAGCTGTGATTGGATCGTCAATATTAATTATGAATCGTAATAATGGTAAAACACTTTTGCTGGCTTGCTTGGCATTTGGCACAGGGGTTTCCTCCACTGGCGGGCGGACTTAAAATTTGCTTTATACCGAAACCTCGGCCATGTTGGTTGTTAACGTTGCACTTGTTTTACCAAAACTTTTGAATGTCCTCCATAAAGGTGAATTCTTGTCTGGCACATACCTGAACATTAAAGTGAAATAAGATTATAAAATATGCTACTCGGAATATGTAAACAATATAAATAGAAAATATAAAATAAAATTGTATTAAAAATAACCTGTAATTACATATTTTGTCGACAAATCCAATTTAATGAATAAATGTATCTTTGTTGTAAATGAGATGAAATTAACGTAATACTTAATTCGAAGCATGTTGTATACTGTGTAAATAAAGGACATCTATTCGACCTCTGGAGTTCGAAGTTGTCAGTGTAAACATTGTGTGTTGATTACAATAACTATGTTTCATGTTGACCTTAAAGAATTGGAGTTTATATACAAACCATTTCAGAGCCGATTTGAAAATTGGAATACATGTAAAGACAATTATAACCAGTTTAAATATGAATTTTCCAATCGGTTGGAGCCACAGTTCTGTTGTTTCAATAACTTTTTAAGTCCATTGGCTCCCGCGAGTCAGCTAGTGCGAGTCAGTATGTCTCGCAAAAATTGGCGTTGCACGATAAGGGTTTGTCAGATTTTAAGAAATCGGTGTCGAGGTGCCGAAAAGTATTACACACTGAACAAAAATTCTCCAGAAGGCTCGCCGCGTGGGTTTCACAGGCCTGTAACGTAATGCGAAGTTGTTTAGAGAGATTCAAACATGGGCTTGTTACGATATTGTAACTTTTCCTAATTTCATTTATTGATGGAATTGCATGTGAGGACAGGGAAAATTCTCAGTGCATCTCGCAGTTGGGTCTGGGTCTTTCATAAATTGCGCCTGGCGCCGTTTATAAAATACGTGCATACGTTTCTTTGGAGACTACTGTTTAACTCAATACGAGACTGAAGAGGGCAACAACGGGCCCGAAAATAGAGGGCGCCTCAGGGGCAGTAGTCAATTAAACAATTGGGGGCGCCCTTACAAATCAATGGCGTTCCGGAGCAAAAGAAAATAGTTCATTATCTTCGAATTAAATTAATTCATCCTGAAGCTATTAGCCAGTCCCAGTAGTGTTTTAGAGGTACAGACAACGAGTGAATTAAGACTGAGTTCTGGCGGCTTGTTTTCGTGTACGTTCGCGCACAGCTGGATTTGTTGTTCGTGGGTCGGCCGCTCGAACGTCGGCAACGCACAACCGCTGGTATATATAGTGGCAAGTATTAAACATGGCGGCGTCCTAGCTGGTAGATTCTTCGAGAGTTAATGTTTGGATGACTGGGCTGATTTTTTTTCTATTTAGAAAGCAAAATCATTTTCAAGGAGACTACTCTGGATACCAGTCCCGATAATTGTGACTACCCTACGAATCAAGGGTCCTGTATGATCCAATGTCCACGTGACCAAGACTGGAGGTATTCCTCCAGTTTTCCAGAATTGGCCAAATATTCCGAAATCGTCTCATCTATATTTGGCATATTCGGATGGTGCCGTTGGTGTTCGGTTATTCCCGGCTGGGTAGACAGGCTGTAATGTTGAATGTAAATTGTCGAATATAGGAAGAATCAGGACCTAGCGACAACTGGCAAATGCCACACATAGAGGGTGCACCACTGTAATGAAATCGGAACACCCGGGCTCTCAACTTGTGACCCCTGACCCTTTAATTGCGTCATATCTATTTCCGTGGGTGATGCCTGACCTAAGATTTTTTATCAAGAGTCGCCAGGGAATCTTTGAGCAGAGAACTGGACTAAGGTTGCTCGAATTCGACCGAAGTAACGGTTCAGACACCGGAGGGCGCTATAGTGGAAAGTAATAAATTTCTGTCAACATATAAATCATAGCGGGCGCCCTTACTAATCGATGGAATCAAAACACAAAACTTTCAGATCGTTCTTTCCAATGTATGCACGTCATTGATGTTGCACTAATGTCGATCTTAGCACCTAAGGGCAGTATGGATGAACAAAGTTAATATGATGCTGAAGATGCACAGTCCTATAGAGGGCGCCATATAAAGTAATTCAGTCGTCGCATGGGGGCGCCCGCACTAATCAGTTGAAAATTAGTTGAGAAAATATTTGTATACAATACAAGGCTAATCGATCAATGTTTTACACGATTTTTCTTAAATGTTTTCCTCGGGATTCTCCATTATTTAATAGATAATTACTTTTCCTCATGGTACTCACCATCAAATCCTCTGGAAAATAAAAAACAGTCTGTGAAACAGCCAACATAGTACCTAACATAACCCAGGTTCAACAGAAAACCTTCAGGGGAATTTTAATTTTTTTCGACCGCGATTCCCATCTTTGAAATGCATCGAAGATCATGATTGAAAGACTTTTTTTTCTGCAATTGGAGTGAATATTTCTTAAATATTATTATATAATATTTATTGCTTAAATATTATTCAGAAAGGACATTTTCCACGGAATATTCTCATGACAATCGTGACTTTCTCGTTAGAAACTTCTTAGAAGTCAACAGACAAGACTACATGTACATTTATTTGAATTTCCACAAAATAAAAATAAAAGCACAAAGATGCACAGAGCCAACAGATATTGACAAGTAGTTTGCTCTTTATTATTACACTTTCTTTGAAAACATTCGCACGTTTCTTAAAATGTTTCTTGAATAGACAATTAGTACAAACATCAAATATGTACATGTACACCATAGCGGCAAACAGTAGCCCTCGATTTGTCCACTTTCTGAAAAAAGATTCCACGTAGCTATTGGTTCAACACTTGCAGTGGTTCTTAAATAAAAGAGAATACTTTGGAGGCCTATCTGGATATTTTCTTCCTTCCTGTAGCTTTTAATTTATGACTAAAACAGGAATAATGAATACCTTTTATAAGGAATATTTCCATAATAAATTAAACTACTACAGCGGACATCACATTATTTTATCAATACTTCCGTCGTTTTTCAAAGCTTTGAATATAACTACAAGTACAATGAAATAAATATTTATCTCTCATAATTTTACAAGTTGGCCATGCAAAAGGGCTTAAGTAAAGGACATTAAGATCTTGTTGGCAAACAGCTGTCATATTTTAAAGATCAATTAAATAACAATCTGGCTTGGCGGTGTAATAAACTCAGTCCACGTCTTCATTATATGTTTTGAAGGAGTAAAAATATCAGATCAGAAATCCACCAAAGAATATTGTCTCTCAATTGTACCGTACATTGACTGCATACAGTACTGAAAATCTTACATTTTGGCAACTGTAATTAACCGCTGAAAACACTCTGATATGCATAAGCTTTACTTGCTGGCAAGTTTTCTTTTTTTCTATTATTTTAATGCAGCCTCTCTCCTCAATCTCAAACGTATGGCCAAGTTTTTTAAAAAGCCCTAATTCTGACAACAGTCTAATATTGTTGAAAAGATATTAACCAGCTGGTACTTCCTGAATACTTAGATCAGATAATTTATGCTCAGGAAAACAATCTCCAGCCAAACTGTTCCACACGTATGTGTCATAACTGTCAGTGACTGGTACAACTTACAAGTAATTTGGTTTTGGGGACGTGTTGTCTGCTAAGGGTACAAGGTAAGCAAATTCCGGATCCATCAAAATTGAGCAAAACGAGTGACCAATTTCACAGAGATCTACGCTGAAAAGAAAGATATTTGCAGAGCAGAAGTAGGTTGCAAGCTGAATGCTGTCCTTAATGCGTTTTCTATTGTTAGTTTTTAGTTAATTGCGGCTCAGCCCATAAACGTACCAAGCACCCTTTTCTGTTGACACCCTTGCGTTGAATTTTGAATCTTTCAGAGGGCTAACACTGAGTGACCTTGGAATGGGCGAATGTTTACTTTAAAATGGCAAGAAACTCTATCAAATTCAGTAAAATGTCGCTCTGTGAACGAATCGGAATTGACCAATGACCCGTTTAATTCAAACAAAATTGGCAAAGTATCAAATTATTGCACTTTGTAACGGTGGCATAAAGAAGCGAGATATGAGACAGAGAGAACCCCCCCCCAGCTTTGTGTTGGTCATTGTCTCACTGGAATCTGAAGAATTCTTTTCAGACATTTAGGGGGATGTGCTAGATAACAATAGTCTCGTGTGTGTATAGCAATTGCACATGTTGGTGGGGTACCCCTCGGTCTCATTTCTTGCTGGATATAAACGGTGGTATGCACTGTAACAAAAAATTGAAATTTAAAAAATAAATACTTTCATTGGTGAATACCGCAAGCTAGAAAAACTTACAAATAATTTAATAGATTCTGTTTTACTTTACGAGACAAAAGGAATGGGCAAAGGATACTTCAATATTACTTGACAGTAGTTGGATATATCACAATTTGCTGGCATTTATGGAAAGTGCAATCTACGATAGAGGTAGGTTGGACCCTATAGTTGGAATACGATAACAGATGGAAAATTTTAACACATTTAACCGACTAGACTAGTCTAAAAGGAGACTAGTATCAAAAGGAGGTCGTGTGAATGGAAGATGGTGAAATAACAGATTGATGGTTAGATGATGGCTACATGAGGGTAAAGGGATTGGGCAAGACAAGAGGTGATCAAATCTAGAGGCCTTTCGTCTCCAGTGGAGTGAACTAGCTGAGGCTAGGTAGACAAACAAACACATCTGGGGGAAAATGGTGGAGATTATCGTACGGGCGAAAGTGGAACCATACAGAGCTGAAGTATTCATGAAGAGATTTCCTCCAAGAACAACCTCAGACAAATTTAATTGGCAGACCAATAGCACTACTGACAAACTGGCAGACAAACTCAACTCGGCAAAAATGGTGGTCTTTACATAGGGACATAAAGCACAAAATGGACCAAGGCCGAACGCAAATGGAGAACGTACGCTTTCAGCAAAGAACAACAAGCTCGAATTATTTCGACCCATCACAAAAACAAACAAACAAACAAAAGCATTACTTGCACAGAAAGGCAACATTCAGGTCCTCCTTTTAGGTCTGGACATCAAAGTACAAACGTCATAGCACATCCACCTAACAAGTAATGTCATGTGTGGGTGATCGCTTGCACAGCTCAAGCAATTTACACTCGCATTCGAGCAAATGAATACATTTTCACAAAAAGGACAACTTCGAGTCCCTCAGATATTGAACTCTCTCTATCTCCTCATTTGCCGATCGGGACGATGGCCGTCACAAAATGGTACTTGAAGCTTTTGTCTGGAAGCTTATTCTCACTGAAGACTTGGACAGCGATGACGACAAACGCAGTGAGACTGCACATCCACAGCAAGAGGCCGACACCAAGACCAGCGTAAAGCAGACTCTTAGCGCGATAACTTGCCTGGTGGGCGCCAAAGGAATCCCCAATAACTGCCCTCCGTCTCACCTACAAGGGAAGAAGAGATAATGTACTTCATGTCAAATTTGAGAACACATTATTTCGGGCATTTGAATGAACACATTATTTCGGGCATTTGAATGTGAAAAAAAATCAAAAATGAAATGGAAAAATTTCTCAGATAAACACAACAGTGTAATTAGCCTTACAGGAAACCTTCTTGCCGTGCAACAGTGTAATTAGCCTTACAGGAAACCTTCTTGCCGTGCCGAATACAACGGTGATAAAAAAGCTTGCAGACCATTGTTAACCACATTCATCGGCAAGGCGTCAAAAGTTAAATTTGGGAGCGAGGAAACATCGCTTTCATGTTGGGCACGGTCAAATAGCTGCCGGTGGGTTCAGTTGCGAATCCACATTTTTTTATATGACGTCTGTTGGTATAAGATGAACAGCCAATGGCAGAACGTCGAGAAAAATCCATACCTCACTGGACTTGATCAATCCCATAATGCCGAGCGGGAGACAGCAGAAAAGCGTGACGAACAGGGCCAGCATCTGGTAGTCCTTGGGTTGGTTTCGGGAGGTGATGACCGTGGTTTCAGCCTGTGGGAAGGAAGGCATCTACAAGAAACGAGCAGAAAAGAAAGCTAGACCAAACCTCAACATAACCTTTACCTTCTTGGAGGTACGTATTTCAACAAGGAGCTCTTCTGGTATGCTCCAAAATCTAACATCATGCATGAAACTGAAGTGCAACTTTCTTAAGTGCTTTAACTACATAACATTTAGGGTACGAAGTCTTAAATGTGTAAATTTGGTCAAACAAAAAAGTAGTTTTTGATTAGTAGTAGTAAATTTTGATGGTAGCAATGCACTAGAATTCTCTAACCAACACTCCACAGAAAGATAGTGTCAACTTCAACCCACTCATGAAAACTTGCAACCAGCTCACCGATAGCAAGCTCTGCCCCGACCGAGGCTGGAAAAACATCTCAGCGCTCTCGACTCCTTCGTCACATTGGCTAGTCAGAGGTCTGTATGCTGTGAAAAACAGGAAAATGTCATGAAATTAAAAGTAGTTTAATCAAAAATCACATGTAGAGTCAAGAAAGCATTTTAGTAACGCATTCGGTGACCTGGTAGAATATCATTGATTTACTGTCGAGGATCCGGTAGGCGATTTTGAAGGCAATTCATTTTATTTCATTACATTTAATCAAACTCCACTGTTCAATGTTACACCTACTTTCACTGTGTAACGTTTCAAGTTCACCTTGACCTATTCGCTGTGGCACAAGTCAAAAACTACAAGAAAGAGTTGTGCAGCAATTGTGGATCTATAGATGAATTCTTATGTATAGTTTAATGTACACGTATAAACGTGGTTAGAAAAATCAAAATTACATCGCTATATTAAATGTACCTTTCCTCAAGTTGGATTATAATGTACCTGCGGGTGTCTCTTTTTGTAAAAGTATTTTCTGTCTTCGTGTGCTGATTTTGAGGCAAAAATCTTCGCTTGGTATAGTGTCGTATAGGACGGTGAAGCGTCGGTTGTCCGAGTAGCGTTGCTCGGTTTACAAGTACTAGAAACTTCGACCAAATTTAGAAGCCATTACCACGAGGCCATCCTGATCGCACGCAGGCGGTGCGCGCGCGTGAAATTCCTCCTTGACCAATAGGCAGTAGGTTGAGACAGCTGCGTGAGTGTAAATGGCCCCTCGGAATGGCGTTTCATCGGATTTGTCTAGATGCACAGCCCACGTGGCCGGTGCAACAATTCTCTCGCAAGTACAGCTTAAATCTTCGAATTTCAGTCAAAATACAGAGAACATCTAGAGTTTGAGAGCGAACCAAATTATGGCCGTACATTCAACAGCTCAATATTTCAACATTTCAAATAAAGTGACATTTTCTTTTATGTATGTGAATATTTATAGGAAATACCAGTATGCAGTGTGTTTAAAATATTACTTAAAAACTGAATGTAATTATTCCCATGCCCATCTATATATTTATAAAAAAAAACTTTCTCGGGGGAAAAATGTCTTAAATAAATCAGTATAGTTTTCAAAGGTGTCCATAGAAACGAACTAACTTTTTCCTTCTCTCCTTACCAAAAAAGACTAACCCCAAAAGTTCTTGTTCCATACATGTATATGAAGTAATATTCCCTCCCCCGTTATGAGAAACGGACCTACAATTTGGATTTGTTGGAATGAGACCAAGAATACTTGATCCCATGCACGTAGAAATGATACCCAGATGGTCCTGGTTAATGGACGTTCATTGCTACATGTATTTACATTTTAGATCACAAATAAATTGAGCCCATTCCAAAATTCAAATTTGGTTTGCACCTCCAAAGAAATGGAAACCCCTTTAGGTCGAATTTAAAACTGCACAATGGCTTAGCTCGTTCCCAGAAGCCTTTCACAAAAAAGTACGTTCCAGCTACTGACGCACAAAGCATTTTGGGTTAGTTTCTGCCTAATCAACGCGTGTACATTCAGTGCACCCGCGTGTTTGTTTGAAACAACTATCCAATGGGTGCTGTCCAAAAATACGTCATGCGTGTGCGCTTTCCAGGGTCTGAAAGAGCGGCGGGGACGAGCGACCGCAATGACTGGTTCCCACTCCACAGGTTCAAAGTCATAGCAATAGAGCCTGAAAGTAAAAGGTCACGCAGCGAGCTTCCGGAACCCTTGCGCGGTCTGCCTGTGCATGGGGATTTTACATTGTGCCGTCCTATCACGTTCGATAATTTTTGGAAAAATAATTCCTTACTGAAACACTCATTTTGGAATTTTACCTTTGTCTTCCTCAACTAACATTTTGGAAAAATATCCTGGAGATGGGTAAAAAACGAATTTAATAGCGACCTTTCACGCCCGGCGATATCGTACCTAGGTCACCTTGTTCAGGCACATTCGTTTTCACTCGCCGTGCTGTCTTGAAAACGAGATTGTAGCCTGGCCTACACCCTTGCAAAGATTTACCTACCTGCAGTCGATGGGTTCCAGCTGCAAATTCCGTTGAGTTGTCATCACGCAGTTGTTGTCAGCAAAGGTCAGATAAAATATCAGAATCTTTCGTAAAAGTAGAATATTGCTTTATTTTTGTTACTTTATAAATTATTAAGATATGTAAAATATTTTGATCTGTTTTGTTTTTGTTTTCACCCACAGACTATCATAAAATTTCAAAACGTAAATATTAATTTGCGTACGAGACTGCTGTATTGCACTGTTCTTCATTTATTTTAGAGTTTCGGCAGTGATGGGTCAACTCTTGGCAGGATATTTCTCTTTAAGGTCAGGTAATTTTTCAGTTTCTGTAAATTGATATACCAACAAATATTTTTCGAAGCCCTTTTTCCAAGTTGAATTTTTAAAGAAGAAACTAAACGAAAAAATATTACAATTTCTAAAATCTTTGCGCGTTATTTTTCCTATCCAAGGGTTCCGGGCGTGTCATCGGGCATGTCGGGGTCAACTTTCAGGCTCTGTACAGGCAGATAGGTGCGTGGCTCTAACATATTTGGAATAAAAGCTCGACATTCGTTCATGAGGTGGATAGGGTGTACTAAAATGCCAATGAACCTCGTGTTGTGGGATGACATGTATAACCCTCCCATGGTCCTCTGTTGCCTTACACTGTAAAAAGGATTTCTTTTACTTCGAAGATGGTGATTCCCCTCCCCCAATGCTTGGATCAACATGTCAATTCGAATGGAAGCCTAGAACTTACATCTTTTTAAAAATTCTCACGGGAAAAATGGAGCAGAGAGGTCATTGAAGCTCACTGCTTAAAGATCAACGGACTTTATATGTACACCTAAGTATAAGAGAGAGCTTGATACTCCTCGAGATACACGTAGCTAGGCGGGTTAATGAGAAGAATCATGAACAGCGAACCTATCGGGGTTGAGAGAAGAAAGGAACAAACTTGAACCTCAGCAAAATTGAAAATGAACACTGAAAGACAATGAAATACATGTACACTGTACATGTACGTGTACATGCAAAAAAAAGAATTTGCATTTCGCTAAAAAGAAACAGGCTAATTATACCTGTTTTGGGTGACTGTACGGCATTTTCAGATCATTCCCCATACAGCCATTGAACGAGCCTGGTAGCCGTTAACCAAAATCTACATTGATACATTTAGTTTTTTTACAAACCATTAACAATAAAAAAAAAAATTCATACATCAAACCACTGGAAGTCTCCTTCCTTTAACCCTGAATACCTCCGTGCCCCATTGCTCAAGTAATTTACTTTTGTTTCACCTTTTTAGCACATGCTAAGAAGGCAGAACAACACAAGAAGAGGATGGGGGACAAGACCGCACGTACATAACATGCACAAGAGCCCCCGATGTCAAGATTCATTGGAGACTACACAAACAAAGACTATTGTCTTTAATGGTGCAAAAGAAGCAGAAGAACTCAAACAGAATCCGGGGAACAAGACCTGCATGTTCAGTTACATGTACATCTAGGTCAGGTAACCGTTTCTTACAGCTATGAACATGCATAAGACCTCCCCATCTACAAGAGTCCAGACCAAGATAAAACAACCAATTATTGCTTTTTACATGAACAAGCAAACTTGAAACAGTTAAAGTTTGCCTGTTTAAGTGAACCATCCTGAGAAATGTTTTAACAATAATAAGAACAATGCATTTTTACATACACCGTACATGTATATTGACATTGTAGTGCACATCTCCATCACAACTGTTGCTCAAGGCGCTGTACTGTCATATGTATTTGTGACCGGCTCCACAAAATGGGTATGATGGGCCTTTTTTTTTTTCAAATGAGGTACATACACAGTTGAAGTGGTTACATTATAAGCTGTAATTTGATGTTGGTTTGAACTCTGAGGCACTTTGCAATCTGGAGACATATTTGCATAATCATATCATACACATCAGCAGAATTGCTTTCAGAGATAAAGCCCTTTAAACACAGGAAGTGGAAAAAGAAATCAGCCAAGAAGGAAGTCTCTTGATACCCACAGCAACAGTTAGGTTTCTTGTATGAATTGTGAATGTGCTGATATAATAGAAGCTAATAAACCAAGAAGTAAAAAATCACTCTGTCCTAAAAAGCCCTCAGTGTGAAATAGCACCGTGTCCATTAATACCCTTTTTCGCAGAGCGGGTCACATTTGTAGAAATAAAATTGTTGGTTTATTGCGGCATTTAGCCCTAACTCCCTAGGGTGTGTGCAAAATTATATTAAAATTGGAGGATTCAGGGCTGTTAGGGTTAAGGGAATTATTCGCTTTAGTTTTGAGCAGAAGCCTGCTGATCAGCAGCAGTGGAATGGTTTTAACAGGGGGCAAGCCCCGCCCATTAGACTGAAAAGAGTACAAAAGTGACTCACCGTCCCTAACTTCATAACCCTAAAATAGTGGAACTTCCACTGTTCAGATTTTCACAGCAGTTTCACAGCTATCCCTACCAGTCCGAAGCTTTCTGCAGACAGAATTTCGATTAAAACATGGATCTCTTTAAAGTGTGAAAAAAAAAGCTGAAGGAGAGGAATTGTCCAACATCACAAATACCGACTTCAGCCTGGTTTTGGGATGGTGGGTCACAATTATAAAGTTGCAATGTACATGTACCTCCGAGGGCTGGTAGGGGCAAGATAACTACCTTTTCAGGAGTGAGGGAAGGGGACCCCCCCCCGGTCCCGCCACCGGAGCCTCTGATCAGGAGAAATGAACCATGCCTACATGTAGTGTGAGTTTTCAAACTAAATGGCATCTTGTTGTAAAGACACGACCATGAGGCATAATCATGCCACCAGTCGATGAGCAACTATTGAGGAAAACGGCCCCCCTCTTTTGGTCCCGCTTGGATGGATTGAAGTGGAATTCTTGTTTCAGTTAAGTACTCTCCCAGGGTGGTTAGCATGTTTTGATTGTGCAGGGTGGGGGTCTTTTCACAGGTCATCGGCTCAAATCAAGCTTAGCAAAATGCAGAGCTATGTGAACCCTGGCCAAGTTTTTCCAAGGAAGTCTTCTGACTTGAAAACTTCTTTCGTTTTGATCATTTCTCTTTTTCTCTTCCCAGTAGCAGCCATACATGTAGGACTGTGATGTGAGGCACACACTACTGGCTAAGAGGGGGCTATTTTCTGGTGAATCACACAAAGGCAAGATTATTAGCTCAGATGCAGATAAAGACCCACAGGCAATGGCTCAGGTTTGTACATTTGCGTATAAAGGCTTTGCTTAGTAGCCATCTTGCAGGGCAGTCCTTTTGTTCCATAGGGAAACCTGCTTTGTGCATACCCCATGGAACAAAAGCACTGGAATGCAAGATGGCAGCCATGCAAACCTTCAATTTAAATACTCGAGTTTAAATCAGTTGGAAATAATGTCTCGTCCCTGTCTTCCTTCTTTTTCCCTATGAAGTCTAGTTACATTTTACTTTGATTCTAACAACACAAACTAATAGTGCCATTCAGCAACTTTCAAACTCGTTACATGTACAAAAATTCTTTGCTTTGTAAACTAAATGACCAGCAAAAGAGTCCAGAAAATCCTACAAAGACCAATTCTAAGCACTTCAACATGTTGACTTTGTTGTCTTTCCTGATACCAGGGCGGGGGCATCAACTCATGGAGGGGCGGAGCCTCAGCCAGTTGATGAGCACGACCGTTTCACCGTGTACCACCATGGCAATGCCCAGCAAGCAACATTTGCCTTCCACTTTGATACACACCAGAAATAAAGACTCTCACAAAATGTTGCATTGTGCATTTCTTCTCTGTGACATGATCCTGCGATGTATATTTGCAGTTTAGGCCAGGAAGACTGTCTCAAATTTGAGTGGTCTCTAAATAAAAACCCCTGGCATACCGGTACAAATATGTATATACCATGTACTACTGTAACTTTGAAGTTTAATACAAAATTAAGCATACTTGATAATATCCCAAAAATAAAATGATTCATAACAAGGTGACCTTTTTCTTAAAATGAAATGCAGGCCCTAGAAAAGTTGCACTTTTCAGTCTTCAAAACAATTTAGAATCACCTTAAATGCTTAAGTAGATTTGCAGTTGAAATAAATTCTCGGTTTAACAGTCAATTTCTAAGTGTTTGAGCTTGTAATATCTTCAGTGCACCTCCATGCAATCCAAACTTAGTAACCTCTGACTGGATAGCAATGTTCAAAAAATTTGAAGGAATCTTCCTGATTCTTTTAAATGATCATGTTGATGTATGTGCAGTGGTAACTGAGTGCGGATAAATCATTTGATTACTAAGGCCTGGGGGCCGGAATCCTAATATTTTCATCTTAATAATAATAATAGGCATTTATATAGCACCATCAATTAAGAACACTATTCTGAGGCGCTGAATACTCAAAATATGGGAAACAAATCCCGCCCGAATGGCGTTTTACAATCAAGGTCCAGGGGCACGTCCACGTAGTTTTTCCACTCAAAAGACGGCTTTCGTTTTTTCTACCGGGATTTGCGCCTCCTCCCTCAAAATGTGGCATATACTTAAGGCCTATACGTGTCGTAACAGTTTCGAACATACTAGCCTAGCTACACCCCCTCTCCCAAAGAAATTCAAACTCGCTGGTTTTTAGATGGTCTTAAACGTTAGTCATGTTAGTGAAGGATTTCCCTGTCGTCTAGGAAAATGCGCTTGCGATTTGGGATTATTCCAAGAAATTTTCACTTACATGATGACATGTTGATTAGGCGAGGTTTCCAAATGCAAAACCGGGAAAACAAGCCAGTCTTGCCCGTGTTGGTTGGTCCAGCGCTAACCACCGCTGTCACCTGTTTGGGGTTGATTAATTTATTCACTAAAATCAATTCAGTACACAATTGTCAGGATTTTAACTCGGTAGCGCGTTTTATGAGATGCGGGGAAAATAATCGGCGAACCAGACCGTGCCAAAGGCAATATCTTCCCACGGCTGTTTTATGTCGAAATTAAAGCCTAACCAATATATCTCGATATTTCCGTAGAATTCGAGCCATTATTGTTGTGTCCCCAAAGTTCAGAAAGTAAAAATTATTGCATAATACTTGAATCGCGGGAAAACTCATGAGTTTTCTAAAACGTTTGGGCTTTCATTAGTCTTTTCAAGGCCACCGTAGCAATTCAGTCACTGGTAACCATTTCTTAAATCAACAAGCATATACGGTACCCTGAGGTATTCACTCATGCCCACCGCCCTTAAACATGGCATGGGCAAATCCTTTTCCACAAATTTTTAGAAGGATGTGGTGTCTTTACTATGCCTTGTGGGTAACAAACTACCTTCAGCGCCCCTACAATCTGTGCGCACGTATTAGTGCGCACACGGAGGTGCCGATTCGCGGTACAACTAGGGAAAATAATATCCAATAAGAGCTCTTAAAAATTACGTCATGTACGTAAAGAAATTAGTCCATCCCTGCTACCGGTGGAAGTGGGTGAACCACATTGTGTAGTACCAAGCACATACAATGTACATGTATTTGTGTACAATCCGAAGGGAGGTCAATGTAGGTCATACTGCGAAAGAGAGGAAACGCTAAACATGGATTTGAAAGGGCTCTTTGGTGGAAAAGAAAGGGTGAGATTTTCTATTCATTTGAAAGAATTTATAAAAAGTTTTAGACCATTACTTTGGGCAGTTGACGACAGACGTTCCTGAGGATTTTTGGATTCGAAACGGTCGTTTTAAAGTTACAATCGACGGCTTGAAGTTGCACTTCCGAACTTCGCCATATGCGTTGTATAGACCATCACACGTACAGTTGGTAAATGTACCGTGTGTACGCGCGGTCGAACATGTTGAGTGTACATATACAGGGTTTTGCAAAGTAAATGGTAAATTACAATGAAGGTATTTCCGTTTTGCTGGCTTCAAATGAATCAGTATTGTTTTGCATCACGTTCCTCCTACAAGGACTGTTTCTTTTTCAGTAGCCATTGGTAGACTCTTGTTAATCTAATTTTTATTTTTGAAATTTGCTTGGCTTTGTTGTCAGGTTGTGTGACAGCAGGTGTAACCAATTAGGCCTGTGCCTCTGAGCTAGGCCTAAATTAAAATTATCATAACTTGATCAATGTCAGCTTTTGTTTTATTTGTGTTTGTTCTTTGGTTTTAAAGTCGTTAACTGACAGTTTGAGTTTTGTTTTGTTGCTGTTTTTTGTTATTTTAGGTTTTCTTCGGTCAGGTAGGACCTTGTCCTTTGCACATGAAAACTTAGACCCAGTAACTGAAGTGGTCACTGATAAAGCTAGCTAGTTATTTTACCTATTGAAGCGGAAGTAATGCTTAAGACCAAGGTACAGTGTACAAGACAAGGGCTAATCGCCAGGATCTAAAAGCTCGAGTAAAGCTTATGTGCATTCAATGAAATTAGAATAACAAAGAACAGCCTACAAGGCACCAGCAGTACACGATATCTGTCAGAAGCCGAAGACAGTAAATTTATGTACAATAGTGCATAGATAAGATAATTTTCTGCACTTTTTTTCAGAGGGAAAAAAAGTTTATGAGTATCAAACTTTAACATTACACACATCCTCGATTCATGTACATGATGTATGTACAGTGTACAGTATGTAACATGCCATATAGGGGAAAAGTATTCATTGCTAAATATTGGTCATGTTGAATGTTGAGTTTATACTTAGACACTTCTTTGAAGAGGGTTCTAAGTTAAGAACTGAATGAAAAAAAAAGTTATAACAACATTACTTGACATCCTGTGCACAAACTCAGTGAAGCTTGTCTGAAATCTTTAATTTTTTTTTTTTTAAACGTGAAAGCTTCAATATTTTCCCTGCTAAATTTGACTTTTGGGGATGTGTACATCACTTGGCTTTTATTCAGAGGCACAATATTGGAGTCAAAAGGCTTCTTGAAATTAATTGAGATCTCAAACTTGGCTGGTAAAATTCAAAGAATTTTGTTTTCCTTACATGTACGTGTAGATTTACCTAGACCCAGTACTAAAGTTGTCACGTATTAAAGTTGGCCAGTTATTTTGCCAAATCAAAACAAATTTTGTTTGGCATGGCATGCAACGTGAAAGGATTTTGTTCGATAATGAGTTATAGTTACTCCTGCAGAAGGATTGTGTACCGCTGAAGTTTATATTACATGTATTTCCCCCCTGGGTATTTGGAGGAGGCGATGGACGTTTTAACGGGCACTTTGTTGAGTCTTTGTCGTTTTGGGGGAGCCTTTTTGGGGCTTGGTGCCTTATAAGGTAACAGCAACATTGCCCTCAAACGCAGACTGTTCACTGGTGATGTTACAGTACGGCAGTGCACGTGTGACTGTCAAAGTAGAAAAAGAGAGAAAGTAGAAGCAGAGTACTTTAATCCAGTTACTTTATTCGATAAAAATTCTCCATCTGAGAAAACTCAATAGTGCTGTGTGTAAATAAGGTTGGTTAACTTAAGAACTATGGCACATAATGCCGTACATGTGTGTGCGTATTGGGCCTAGTGTTTCAGTCTAACTGCACTTGAAGCGAGGTTGTGTTCAAAAAGAAAATGACAGATGTCAAGAAAAGGTTGCCAAGTTTTATAAATTATTACAACAAAATCATAAAGTGCTGTACTTGCATCAAATTCTAGAGACACCAAAAGCACAAGAAAGCAGTATTTTTGGGGGTTATTGCTCCAAGATTCGTCGCGTTTTTCAGGTGATTATTTAAGCATTATAATGTTCATGTACAGTACTATGCATGCACTGTCCCAAATGATGGCTGTTTTGATTTGTGGTTCAGGCGTATACATGTACCACGGTATGCAACGTTTCAAGAAGGAAGCTGATCCCATTATTTCAGTGTAATGTGGACTTGCAAAACTACAGCTCTTTCCTTGAAATACAATGCATGAAAAGAAGTATGTTTATTTATTAGACGTTGCATCCAGGGTTTTGATTTTGATTTTTTGATTCAGAAGTCTTCTCTTGGTCGCTTTTGTTGTCAACAATGCCCCACTCTGAGTCAATGCAGTGTGAGCAATTAGCCACTTCCTGGTTGGCCCAGGTTAACCTTGAACATGTTTAGAAACTGTTCTGTTTCCTCACAGTATCGGGGTACATGTACATGGGTACATGCCCTTTTTTCCCTGCAAAGATGTACTGCAGTATGTACGAGCATGAAACATGTGCATGACCACTGTTCCATAGAATACTTTTGTATCATGAATTATGCCCTATTATTTTTGTACCCATGTACTGTCCTGTACATGTTATGTACAGGTACTCATGTACAAATGTACTGCAGAATACACTTAAAATAATAATTTGAAACAAAAAATGATTCATTTATAGCAGGAACCTACATACACGTGATTCAGCAAACCTTATGATTTATTTAAAACCTGAACGAGTGGCATTTCTAACCATTTTTTTTTTAAATTCTGCTTCGTTTGCTTTACTTCACCTCTGTTGTCTTTAGCTGGTAGTCATTCTGCCACCGGTTGGCAAGGGCTAAATGGTGGCATACCGTACTGTACGTGTCCGTTGTCGAGTATTGGAGGTTTTCCGTCGTTTGTACATTGTATTCAGAAGTTTAAGGAACCGTTTCCGAAAATAAAGAAAGGGATGGTCTCGCATTCAGCCATATCCTGCCTGAGCACTTCCTGTTTCAGTTTCAGGGAACTTATAAAAAAATTGTACATTTATCTGGTTGTTTTTCTGACTTTGGTAAATTACTGATGAGTTGACAAAGTACACTTACCGGTGCATGTACTCTACATGTTCATTCTGCGTAGTACATTGTACATGTTTGCTTGTTTACTAGTCAGTAATAAATTACTGTCTAGTATTTTTTTTAATTGTGGCAAGACAGTCCGTGCCTTGTGGTTTGATTTGTACATGGCTACCGGTAATTCCAGAAATTAGGGGACCAATTTTTTTGTGTCCTTGTCACATCTGACATATGATTTGTAAGTTCAGAACACATTTTCTAATTTCCAAAAGTGGTGAATTAGTGTAAATTACCTGCCAAACAAATACATGTAGTTATAGTTTGAAATCAATTCCGGTGATATTTCCATTTTCAATGTCAAATAACAAAGGTCAGATGTAACAGGGACACAAAAATGTCACACTTTTGGACCCCTAATTTCTGGATTTACCCACATACATGTACTAGTAACTTTTTGATTTGTTTCTGTCCTCAAAGGCAAAATGAAATTGAAAACCCCAACTTGTAGAAACAAAAAGGATATATGTATTTCAGATGAGTAACAAATAACTTGATGACTGATTTCTGAAGTTGATGTGGAAAATTTGCAGCAAAATGAAAGCTTTGCTTGAATTCAAATTCAGTACTCCTTTTTTTTTCTCGGAAAAGTCCAGCCTCGTACATGTACCAATACATGTCTAGCTGTAAAAATTGAAAGCAAAACAGAATCGCACCGTCTGGATCATGTTAGGTCTACACTGTATGTAGATCTGTGACCCCAACCTTTTAAGTAATTTTTTTTTTATCCCCAGAACCCATTTTAGCTAAGAGGAACTTACAAAAGTACTTTGTCAGATCCAATGATGTTTACCATGACCTGAGTTTTATCAAGGCTTGCCAAAAGACAGCCAGTCACAGACTTTCCCTCTCAAACTCTCACTGTACAGATTTTGCCCTTTTTTGTGATGACAATGTGCTATAATACATTTACACGTACCATTAGTTTAGCGTACACTTGTTCATTTATGGCACGGTCGTGCATGAAGTATGCACCCATCTGAAGTGAACGGATCACATTCTAGCGATAAAGTTCATGACTGTTTTGCAAACATATGGATAGTCTGACAAAGTCACATGCCTGTGTTCATCATAGGGCAATTTACATGTACGGTGTACAGTACAGGGGTACATTTGAGAACACAGTGTACACAGGTATGTACATGTAGCTTAATTCAGTTTTCATGCCAGGCAGTTGAATGTATGCACATGTACATAGTTTACATATTGGTAACAGTACATGAACTTGTATGTCTAGATGTACATGGGAAATTCCAGAAATTAGGGGTCCAAAACTGTGACATTTGTGTGTCCCCGTTACTTGTACATCTGACCTTTGTTATTTGACATGGAAGCATAACCAGAATTGATTTCAAACTTTTACTATTTGTTGGGTACCCAGTACATACAGATAATTTGCATAAGTTCATCACTCTTGGAAGTTAGAAAATGTGTCCTGAACTTACAAAATCATATATCAGATGTGACAGGAACACACCAAAAATGGACCCCTAATTTTTTGAATTAGCCACATGCAAAATATGAGTGTTTTGATTCAGTACCAAACTTTAACAGCTACCCAGCAACTCACACTACCAAAAGAAGGTTACTAGTTAGAACAGTGCAGTTGAATTACAATTTTTTTTTCTCTTGTTTTCCTTCTAAACAATGCAGACGTTTCGTCCGAAGAAGAAGTTTGAGCCGGGCACGTTACGCTACCAGCTCCACAAAAAGGCGATGGCGTCGCTCAACTCCGGCTTGGACCTCAAAGCTGTCGTCTCGCTACCAGCCGAAGAGGACTTGAATGATTGGCTGGCCGTCCACGGTAAGGGCGAGACCTGATTGGTGGAAAGCAGAAAGGAAGAGCCAGAGAAGACTGGGTGTACATGTAGTGTGTCTCTTATGGCGTAAAGGGTCAAATGTGAAAGTTCAAAGATCCGAGGCATTCTGCACAAAGTCAGTTCCTGTGTACTGTAAATGTACAGTTCACATGCATTCTGTGCTCATGATTTTGTCCTGATAATGGTATGTGGCCTACGTGTCTACGCACAATGGGCTTTTCTTGCACTTTTCTTGCCTTGTTACTCTGTGGCCTGGGTTCGAATCCCGCCTTGGTTGGCATTGGGATTGGGTTTTTTGACCCTACTGGAAGCTGAACATTTCTTCATTGACTTCTCTTCTTGGACCCCAAGGTTGAGCTGTTTATTGTGAAAAAAAAAGCAAATATATGTAAATGAAAAAAAAATACTCGCAAGATGACTGGACTGAGAGTTGTACATGTGACTTTGAGTGCTGGTCAAGTGCTTTATATGACGGATTCAGATCAGTGATTTAACAATTTATTATTCCACATCAAACACTCCATCTAAAGTTCAATTGTACCCTATCACAAGTTCCTCTGTGTGGAATAGGATATGCTGGTACATTGTACATGTACATTACCGCCAACCATCTGTAACAGGCATGACAGGTGAATAAGCATAAAAATATCCTCTGTAGTAATATTTCAGTGCCTTTTTTTCTATCTTTGAATTGATCACGTTTCCTGATCTGGCACTGAACGTGTACACATGTAATGTACATGTACTCCATAAATGCACATCTGTTTTTATCAAAATTACATGTATTTGCCAGTTGTTTGAGGGGAGCACGTCTGAAGTTGAACTTTCCCAGTGTCTGTGTAAGGCTGCAGTTTAGTAGGAGTTGGAGACCTAAAAACCTTAAATACATGTAGAAGGCCCTTTTTTACCTGTGGTTAAAACTTCGGTCATGTTTTTTCAAACAGTGGTACAATGTACATCTGACTTAGGCTGGAACTTACAACGATGATGATTTTGTAGTACTGATATTCAAATTTGAAAAAGAATATAATTTGATGATTTCAATATGAATGGAAGGTTCCAGCATATCACAATTTTGAAGTCAACATTTTGGTTTGATTGATTGTTTTTCAGTTGTTGACTTCTTCAATCGGATCAACCTCATCTATGGAACAATATGTGAATACTGCACGAATGAGTCCTGCCCAATCATGTCTGGGGGACCAAAGTAAGTGTATCTGGCTGGCTGTTCACATCCGTCCATCTGTCTGTCCATTTTCAAGCACGGGCGAGTCTTGTCTGAAGCTACATGTACGTCATTGGATTTTGTGACATCTGAAAAAATTATAGATGTTCTGAACAGTACCGTCACTCGTAGTTCTGGTGTTTGCCCCACTTAGGTACGAGTACATGTGGTGTGACGGTGAGAAGTTTAAGAAACCAACGGCACTACCAGCTAACCAGTACATCACCCATCTTATGGAATGGGTGGAAACACTCATCAACAAAGAGTCCGTGTTCCCAGTAAATGTAGGTGAGTGGCACCCCCGGGTGGTTAATTTCCTACAATGGATAGAAACCCACAGGGTGCCCATTGGGTAAAACACTCATTAACAAAGAGCCCGTTTTCCCAGATAATGTAGGTGAGTAGCACCCCCAGATAAGTAGTCACACTGAATGGTTGAAAATATTCATAAAATCAAAATCAAATCAAGAAAATCTACTTCTCGGAGATGAACATGAATTGAAATGATCCTGTCTATTAAATGCTGTAGTAATCCTGAAACCTTCTTCAAAGTTATCCCGATAAACAACGATAGGTACTTCTGGGTAATCACATCGCGTAAGGTGGGAAAAGAAGTTGGTTTCTCAGTACTTTCTCGTGAGTAGCATCCCACAAGATCTCACTTGCATGGTTTGAAGCCGAAGTCCGAATCAACTGGCTTTTTTATGTAGCGGCTAGTCAATGCATATATTAAAGTACATGCACTGGTGCTAGCCGTAGTCAATTTCAGACCCAACCTAAATCGGATTGTCCTATCAGCCACATTTGGTATGGTGTGCAGTGTGGAAATAATCATTTGAATTTATGGGGAGCTTACGGTAGATGTTGGCCATCCAGTTTTTAACGGTTGATGAGTAGATGCCCTGTTAACCCGATAACCATGTTGGAGTACATCCAACATGTTGACGTTTCCTGCCTACTTTCAGTTTCCTATGTCTGCCAGGAAATGAGATAAAGATCGCTTTTTTTTTTCAAGATACACGTATCAACAGCAGTCTTGCCAAAAGTAACGATGTTTTGTCCATTCACATCAAAATACTGAAATTTGTCTTGTCGGAAGGCCCTTGCCACAAATGCCAAGATGTTACCAGTTGTGTCCTTGAGCAAGTTACTTTACTCCCACTTGCCTCTTTCCGCCCATGGATGTGAATGGGTACATGTGTATTTGATTAGCCATTTGGGCCTGAAATGGCAAAATTGAACTGTATATCCCCAAGGAGATGGTTTGAGGAGTGGTTATGGGCGCGATGAGCAGGGGTAATGTATTGGTGCACGTTGAGATGTCGAGCACTTCATGTGTCTTGTCTGTGGTGTATCACACTGGTCTAAAATGCTTCCAAAACAAACAATGTCAAACTTGGCTAATTTGTGGTTTCTGAGACTGGAAATAACGCTTTAAATGGCGCGTGTACGTAGATTGGCTCTCATCTTAGAGATTTGGAACTGTGTTACTATCTACGGACAGGTATACATAATGTGTACGTGCTTACTAATACACAGTACGGAAAATGTAAAAACAATTGTCTTGGAAACAGTAGCCTATCAACAACTGTAATTGCCATGTGGTTAATTCCAGAAATTAGGGGACCATTTTTTTTCATGCCCCTGCCACATCTGATATGATTTTGTAAGTTCAGAACACATTTTCTAATTTCCAAGAGTGATGAATTAATGCAAATTATCTGCCAAACAAATTGTAATAGTTTGGAAGCAATTCTGGTGATATTCCCAATTCAAATAACAAAGGTCAGATGTAACAGGGACAAAAAAATGTCACACTATTGGGCCCCTAATTTCTGGAATTACCCACACGCTGTATCTGAATTATGCTCATCGAAATCCCCCCGAAACTCTCCAAAGCCGGACAACTTGCATGGACAGCCTGGTCAAACTTCTGCCTCTTTCTGCTTTCCACCTAGATGTCCCCTTTCCCAAGAACTTTGTGGCCACGTGCAAGAACATTCTAAAGCGACTCCACAGAGTGTTTGTTCATGTTTACATCCATCACTTCGAGAACCTAGTGGCAATAGGAGCGGTAAGCAGAGAAACATATCTGTGCTGAGTGGGAATCAGCTGAGAACCAGTTGCAGGATATAAGCGTTGTGTGACATTTTAGCCGGTAGCCTAAGGAGCAGTGAGTAAGCAAGAGAAAATGTCGGTGCTTAGCAGGAATCAGCTGAGAACCAGCTAAAGGATATATGCATTGTGTGACATGTTAGCTGGTAACACTCAGTGCTCAGCAAATATCTGTGCATAGCATTTCTACAGAAATATCCAAACAGCAGAGCCATAAGCGCAGATATCGTTAATGTACATGTACCCCAGCATATCGGTAGTCAATTTCTCACCTATAGTGCCTTGCTAGACTAATATATTTTTGCCTCAAATTTCATAATTAGTGAAATTTCATTAAGTCGTCAACATCCCCATTCATAAATTTTGAGTTAAAATGTACTCGCTACAAATTTGCATCATAATTCTATGTTGGCTTGATTTTCCGACATTTTTGTCATCCGTCTTTACAGGAAGCCCACATCAACACATGTTACAAGCACTTCTTCTACTTTGTCAAAGAATTTAACCTCATTGACCCTAAGGAACTTGAACCACTGGTAAGTCCCCGTCTTCCACTCAGCTTGCTCTCATTTGTAAAGACTGCGTTGGTTTTATAAGAGACCAGATTGTGTTGGGATTGATGGAGGCATCTGCCTTGGCAATTTTCAGAACTCTCCCAGTGAAATTAGTTGCGGATTGTCCGAGTTTTGTAATGGCCTGCCGCGTGGGAATACTAAGTTTTGTTGGAGATCATTTGCTACGTTTGTGTTTCTAGTGTTCTTTGTGGTATCTAGGATACAGTCTCTAAATCAAAATATTTGTGCCTTTTCTTTTTCCTGTTTTATCATATTCATTTCCCTTCTTAATTTTGCACTTCCCAATGGTAGGTTGTGCATCTTGGGCTTACCCTAACTCCCTAGGCCTTTTTAGTCGGAACCATCCTTAGATTTTTTACATGAAAAAATTGCATTCAGCCTCAATCCTCCAAAATTTCTCGGAAAAGTCATTTGGAGGTGTGCCTACTCCCTCAATCCTCCAGTAATTCCTGTCATTATGATGAGGCAGTGTGAATGGCATTCTTGAGCAGTGTTGTTGATTCAAAAGAAATATCGGGCAGAATTTGTGCTTGACTGAGCAGAAACAACACAAGGTCTAATCCACAACCTTCATGCATGGCATCCTTTGCAATCAGCCATGCATGTACACTTTTGCCTTTGCAATCAGCCATGCATGTACACTTTTGCCTTTGCAATCAGCCATGCATGTACACTTTTGCCTTTGCAATCAGCCATGCATGTACACTTTTGCCATTCATCTTCAGCCATCTAAAATCCTCCAAAACTTCCCAAAGGATTTTGGAGGATCAAGGAGGCTTAGGGTTCATGAGTGAGCAGTAAAGAAAAAAACGTTCTTTGAGGAATGTGAAATTCATCCACTTTGATCACTTTGCTGCACCAGTTTTTGAAGGTTCAGTAGTGTGCCGAAAGAAATATTGACTTTGTTAATATGGATCGTAGTCATGTCGATGATGGCTTTCACTGGGACATCTGAAGTCTTAACGGAATGGTGGCAGAAACTTGACTTGATCTCAGCTGCGACTACAAACTTCAGTTGCGTGAATTTGAAAGATGGAATTCCCTTTCCCTGTGCATTTTCATATTCTCTCTCAGAAATGTTGAGCTCAAGTGAGGCTCATGTTAAGGGTTCTTGTTTGGTTTCAGCTTTGAATGTTTGAAAACAATTTTGTTATTTGAGATAACGGCAACGTCGGGAGCAAGGCTACGATTTACAAAACTGCAGTTTTGCACACCTCATGGCTTTAACACGTATCTTATGTTGTTTTTGATCCACAGAAAGAGATGACGGAGAAGATCTGCCGCTGATAATATCCCTCCCCCATCCCTTAAGCCCCTCCCCCATTCTTTAAGCCCCTCCCCCATCCTTTACGCCCCTCCCCATCCTTTAAGCCCCCGTCTCCATCCTTTATAAGCCCTCTAGGCCTGGCTTCCACACTTTAAGCCCCATCTCCATCCTGTAAGCCCTGCCTCCATCCTGTAAGCCCCGCCTCCATCTTTTAAGCCCCATCTCCATCCTGTAAGCCCTGCCTTCATCTTTTAGGCTCCCCGTTTACCCCAACAACTTTGCCGAAATCTTTCCAGTCAAGACGGCAGGCCCAGTGTAGTCATGATTCAGAACCTGTCGAGACCGATAACTTACATGTACATACAGGGTCCTGTGAAATAGCAACCTTGATGTAGGTCTGAACCTTGGACCATCAGAACAGATGTTCACTTGTCCTAACCACAGAGCAGCACCAGTGCTGCATGTGCCCAGTCCTCTGCCAAGTCCAGAGCGATGGACCATCACCTTTGCATACCACAGTCTTGGTGTGGATCAGAATCGCTGTCCAGAGATGTAACTTCAGGAACACAGCCCTTTGTATAGCCATGGACCAGCAGATCTGAAGTTGACTCGTTAGACTGCAAAAGGCCAATTCCAGGCGGAAGTGAAAATTTGTCATTCCATCTCAGAAATCATCACGGTTTCAATTCATTAGTAAAAGTGAAAGAAAAACCCGCTGAAAAATGGTAAGTTGAACCAGCAGTGAGGACCAGTTCCTTTTTATTCCCATTTGCAGTATAGTTTGTTTTCATTGCTTCATAAATTACAGATAATTAAATGGTTAGTAATGGAATGATGAATTTTCAGTTTTGTGCCGAATCGCCTAAACAGAAACATTGAGAACAAGAGACCATATGAAGTCCTGTGACCTTTGAAGTCAACGTGTTGATTTCTTTAGTAACGTTGACACCAGTGTGTGATTTCACAGCAAACAGACCTCCCCTTTCGGAGACAATTACATGTACAGCGTTGTACACATTATACATCCCAGGTGAGTAACAATATTTTTTTCCGCACCCTTGTTCAGTCACAAAACCGTAACATGTCATCCATAAACAGGTTGCCAGTTGCAGAATATTTTCTTGTGTGTATGGTTATTTGACATAACCCCGTACAACTGTGCGATGAAGGAGTTTATTTGTCCATGAACCATTTACCCAGGGATGTGCAATCGCAAGCAGCCCCAGTGCAAACACATGTGCGACCTTGGTTCCATGCTCCACGGATTATTATTACCCCGGCAGGCGCTCTCGACTTTCTTAAAAAAACTCGCGACTACATGACACGCGTTGCAGCATGTAGCCGTGGTTATGCCGAGGCGACGCGCCGAAGCGGTGCTTAAATCTATTCGTTTTGACGATTAAATCTTCTTCACTTATCGATTTCAAGGACAAGCGAAGTTTTAATGAGGCAAAATTCCCCAATTTTGTGGTACACTTTTGTCATAATGTATAGAATGAAATATCTTGTGAAGCATATTTTTAGAAAGGGTGTACCCTGACTTAAAAATTACAAGAGAACAAAGTGGTAGACAGGAATATATGTTTTATTATTAGAGAAAGTGTTACATAATCCAACTTAATTTCTGCTTTGATATTGTGCCAGCCGTAACACGCACTGAACCAGCCCTGGGTAAATGGTCCGTGATTTGTCGAACATTAAACCGTCCTATGCAAGGACGCAATCTGCATCAAGTTGTCTTATCAGTCAAAATCAGCCAATGTCTTATCAGTCAAAATCAGCCAATATCTTATCAGTCAAAATCAGCTAATATCTTATCAGTCAAAATCAGCCAATGTCTTATCAGTCAAAATCAGCCAATATCTTATCAGTCAAAATCAGCCAAGTGACATTTTTATATGTCTGCATGCAAGTCCCGTGGAGGGAGAAGTGGAAGAATTTTGGAATGGCTGTTACTGTCACAGCAGAGGGTGGGGTTAAACTGAGCAGACACCAACAATTCTCCGACTACAGATGACCAAATGTACCATCAAACCTCACTAATAAGAGGTCCTTTGGACTTGGCAAATTACCTCAACAGGAACCTTGTATTATTAGGAATAAAAACAATGAAAAACAAAGAATTGGGACCCCAAAATGTCCTTGTTAAAAGCAGAATCTTGTACTAACAGTGCTATTATTAACGAGGTTGGACTGTACACAGAATTGATATTCACAGCTCTATGTAAATTCATTTGAACCATGCTTTCCATCCAGTTATAAACAGTCTGGTGTCAACAGGACAATCCTACACTGTCGGGCACTGTAGGCACTCCTGTTTTATTTTGTTACTGAGCAAGGGGACTGGAAAAACACAATTGCCACTCTTAAGCTTTCATTAAAGAGGACAGCCCAGCTAGCATTCTGTATGCCGCGGCTATTTGCATTTAATTGATTTTTAAAACTGGTTTAAACCCTTGTTCGGAAGATTCCAAGGTGCTAATGCATTATGTACATAGGACAACACAGATTTACGTTGCATCCAATTTACGTGTTTAAACCACTTGAATTTTTATGAAGGAACAATCAAGTTATATCAAGTAGTTTATATTGGCATTGTATGTACTGTATAGGAGTATTAAAGTTGTTTCATTACAGAGTGTTAACCCTTTTTCTAGCAAGCAGCTTTTTATGAATTAAGTTCCGATGATAAATTTGGGCAATAAACTGTTTTATCTTTCGCTTTTATTTGATCTCCGACACGGGAAAAATTATAGTGATTTCACTTCTAACAGCATTGAGTTTGGGTGGTGGATTACTTTACGATGTCTTGACGTAAATGTTCATCTTGAAAGTTAATTAGAGATCTACAAGTGCGGTTGTAAAACAACAAGACCTGTGGAATCTACCAATTTGTCTCTACCGAAGTTACAGTCAGTTTTGTCAAGGTATTTAATGCTAACAGTTACGTGCCAAAAAAGCTCAGATTTGAGATAATTACTACGAACTCTGTCGCATTTATGTCAGCGCCATTTTGAAATTCTATCTCCTCATCCATTTTGCCAAGACTTGTTGGGAAAGCTTTTCTGTGAAGTAAAGGTTCGCCGTGTCAAAGGTTTTCACGTATTGCATCACGTCTGAGAATGTGGGACGTCCAATCGCTTCTAGTCACGTACCTCAGGCCTAAAATACAACCGTTCCTGAACATTTTCTGTCTCTTGTGGAGAAGTGTTGTTGTTTGTAACAAGGTCGTAGTTGAGTCCATGTTCCATCACAAGTAACAGGGATGGTTAGAGTTTAATTATATGTACATGTAATACATGTACATGAAGCTTGTGACATGCCTTAAGACTGGATAACTTATGATAGACTTAGAGGGACTCGTCATGGATCCAACTACAGCCACCAATATGTAATGTAACCATTTCTCTCCGTTAACGTTTTGATACATTACTGTTGCATGTGCGTACCATATGTAATTCTTTTTTAAATCAAGTAATAGGTTTGCAGTTGCACCATTTGAAATGTGGCAAAGTGTTGCATCTTAGTGTTGCAATTGTCGCAACCTGTACTTTAAAATGTTTTGTTGCACCTGACGTTGCTGTTTGGTGCATTCGTTTTGACTGTTCCATCTTTGGTGTCTGGGTGGCGAAATAATGGGCAAGGTTCTACAAACAACACTAACTGTTCCAGCAATACGGATGACTCACAGTAGTGCGCCCCCAAGAGTCTGTAACACGTTGACCAATCACAGTGCGCAAAATTTGTTGACCCTTTCGGAACGCGCATTGGGTCGACAGATCTCGCGCATTGTGATTGGCCAACGCGTTGCAAACTCATGGTGGCGCACTATTGTGAAACGCCCGTATCGTGAGTGGAACTGAAAGGCTGCTGCGGTTGTTGAGTCCAACGTAGCAACTGCACGTGCAACCTTTACTTTGCAACACCTCAACAAGTATTGCAAGTAAACGTTGAAGTCATCTGCCAAGATAACTTTTGTCCAATCCAGTTGCCGTTGAGCATCTAATGGCAAGTTCCCTCCTCCTAAAATTCTTTCAGATTTGTCACAAAATACATTAGATTTTTACATGCAGAAAAATGGTAATTTCTTTGAAGTATGATATGTGTCTTGCATACTTTAAGAGCAATATGTCCAGGATTGATTACAAAACATTGCAACATGTTACTCGATGCAACATTGTCTTAAAGAGCCATACAAGTTTTGCACAAATAACCTAAGTTTAGGTATGTGTTCTGGGCATTTTATTTGCTGTTTTTCATCTTATTTTCATTTACATTTATATATAAAAAAAACTGTAACCATTTTTATACCCAGCAAAACAAAACAAAAATTTGTTTGAAATCAGAAAAACCTCTTTCCCTCAAAACCCTAATACCCTAAACCCTAAAGTATTTTTGTACATAATTTGTGGATATTGTTTTTTCTGAAGAAGTAAAAAGTTAAATTGATACGTATTAGAGTGAATCAGTTTTTTAGAAAATAAAATGTGGATTTGAAAGATCAGGCCTATCCTGTTTTTTTATCGATTTTGATTTTGAAGCATCAGAAATTTATCAAAATAAGAAATAAAAAGTAAATTTGTAATTAGAGGAAGGAGTCCAGCTATTACCACAAATTAGTGGACTCACATTTTTTGTATTTTTGACCCACTCTGTGAAAATTGGTCGCAAGTTGCATGATCCACTTTTTGAGTTTTCATTTGTATTGGAAAGAGCAAATTGGGTTTTTTTTGGTTTGACGTATCACTCGGTTTGGTATCCTGATGAAAGTGGATACTCCATGGTGAAAAATGCTGTGGGCTCCTACTGATTTACACTGCAAATTTATTCTAAAGGACTTTTTACTGCAAAGTGGCTCTGGCAACTTGTGACTCATTGTCACAGAGTGGGTCTTTTTTTTTTCTTTTCAAAATTGTTTTTAGGTCCCATAAAATAATTATGGGAGAATCCTTAGATAAGAAAGGAACATAACCTAAAGTATATGACTGTATTTTCTAAGATTAACTTCGATGTTCTTCAAAATGAGCAAGGTTTAATCCCACAGACCATGTAGCAATATAATTTCGGCCATTCACAGATTTTCCTCAACTTTATCTTGGTTTCATTTTCCCCCAGTTCAAAGAGGAGTGTGTTGTGGCAGTCTCGGATTGCATTTCAGTGTCAGAAGAATGTTTTAAATCAACTGAATGGCATGTGACCCTGTTTATAGTAAGAACAACACAAGCATGCTCTGTTCGTAACCCTAAAAATTCCTTGCTTACCTCTTTGAACTAAAAAATAGAGATGGTACAATAGTTTGCAAGTGAAACAAAGTGTGATCCAAGGAAACATTTTGCCTGTAAAAGACATTTCAAGAAAAAAAAACCAAAAAGTGCAAAAATGTGTACATTCTAGATTGTGAACATGTCAAGCAAAATGCTCTGGGTAGCATAGTTGAGATGAAGTCTCAAAATTGACGATTTCTAAAGACAAGATTTGTCCTCAAATGTGACCCACTCTGCAAAAAAGGCCCTTAAGTCATGCAATGCCTCTGTATGTAACGGACCATGCCGTACATCTGCCAGAGATCAATTCTAAATGTTACGATATCTCGGGAGTAGAATGCGCGACAGAGGTCAAAAATACACAAATTAAATCCTTATTAAAATGCTTTTCTACCCGTGGACATCACTTAAAATCAATTTGTCACACATAAACCCAAGGGCCATTTTTGCAGACCCAATCACAAATAGGCTTTAAAAATAACATTGAATGTGATTTTCATTGTAATTTTGTTTTTGAAAAGTGTTCTTTGGCTAATTTTTAATGATTTTTAACCTTTTAAGATAATGCACAGTTTACCAGCAGAGTTAAGGAAGACAAAAGCCTTGTTTGTGTGTATGACATTTGTGTACACTGATTAATCGGGTATATTTTGTTTGTGATTAGAGATTCTATTTGTTCAGAAATAACTGGCAAAGGAAAAAGTGTTTTCTAAAATGTCAAAGTGTTTAAAAGAATACACGTACTTGAAAACTCTTAATACAGACACATGTATGACTAGCTAAATTATTTGTAAAAGGGGAACTTTGAAACCAAAAGTAACATGCCATAACGTGTAAATTTTAATTCTTCGACATTTTGTAACCATATAGATTTTGACGGCGTAGTTAATAGATCACAAGTCATCATTGGTTAAAGGTTTACGGTGGCATAACTAAGGCGGAGGGAGGTGGCATCCCCCCCCCACTTGAGGCCTGTGTGCCCACCCCCGCACCCATGCTCGTAGATTAGAGGGCAAATTGTGGTTGTAGTCGGCCTCATTCATTGTTTGAAGTGTGGAGAAACCCAGTGAGTGTCCGTTAAGAAAGTAAGGGCCCCCAAGTGCACCCACCGCCCCACAAAATGCACCCCAACCAAGCCAGATTTGTCAGATATGATTCCATTGCTTTAAACATTAAAGACTGGAAGTCATTGATAAAGTTATAAAATATGGACATAATAATTAAGTAGTACCTTTAAACTTTCTATTTTGTTAACTTGTTCTAAACGTTTCCTGAAAACAGTTCAAAATGTACACAGGTTCAGTTTGTTTCCTGTATAAAACGGTTACCAGTATTTTGTAAGCAGTCAGAGAAATTTTTATGCTCGACTATTAAATTTGGTTAAATTTAGTTGTTGACGCGAGATTTTGCACAATTTTTGTACTTGTCCAATGCCACCTGATTCTTACATGTATACACTAGTTGTTACAGAACCATTGAGCTGGGCCATATGATGCACGATATGCGGCAAAGGGGACCCCCCCAGTATTGTGTCTTCTTTTGTGTTGATGGAATCATTGGAATTTCTTTCAGATTTCCGGGGGGGGAGGGTGCAGTAGGCACAATAGCCATCGGGTATACAGCTTGTGCGTCACATTGGGGGGGGGTTCCTCCGTACTACATAGGGTGCTGAGTATCGGCTGGAGACACAAGGCTGTGTCCGGAAGGTATAGCCGTGGCTTGCAAATATTACGTAGACAATGAAAGTGGCTGCTACTGAACCACTTAACGAGTGCGTTTTTCTTACCATTTGAATGGTATACCGCCCTCTATTGTTAAACATATACCGTGTAGTGAGGAGACTTACCTTTTCTTTCTGTAGTTTGATGCGATTTTTCCTCAGTAATAATAAAACAAAGCTGCGAAAGCCCACTCTTTCCACAAGGAACACATTTTCAAAATGTAAGTATATCTTTTCAAAATCAGTTTTTATGAGATATATTACTAAGCTGGTTGTGATACCCGGTATCTCATAAAAAAACACAAACCTGAAAATGTTTTCTACAAATTTCCCCCCCCCACAAAAAAATGGAAATAGCCCCTCCCCGGCAATGTTTCTACAAATATCTCGTAAGTTCTAATCATTTTGTAATAATGAACTTGAACTTTACATTTTAATTTAAATTTCTCAAATTTGCAGTTTATTCAAACGCTTTCGAAAAGCTTTGGGATACCCCAGAATGCATTCAAGGACCAAGAGAAGTCCTTTTAAAAATAAGGAGCGAACAATGAAATATGTTGAAGATTGCATGATGTGTTTTATTCCTCCATGGGAGGTCCGACAAAAACCCTGCGCTGGGCAGACAAGTTCTGACATGGTTGATTGAACTGCTTCATGCTCAGTCTGTGACAGTAAATTGGATTTCTTGGACGGTGTCATAAGAAAGAGGACATCATTAGTTAATCAATGGTGGTTGCCAATTTCCAAAGTATTTAGCCATGTCCAAGAAATGAAATTAATCTCAGTTTCTTTTTTTTAAGCACACTGTATTTGCCTTCTCGGCGCAGACAGTTGGCAAAGTCGAACCGTGCTCAACTTCGCCAATCCATCTGGTTTGCGTTATATCTTGGTAATCAGCGATACTTTTGTTAGACATGTTTCCATTTGTCTGTGTTATAGTTTGCATCTTGATTGCATTGCTCTCTGCGTTTCCTACGTTGATGTGGAAACCAGGCTGTAGCTGTCTCATTTCTTTCATCACAGAATTATGAGAAGAATATCTGCTTGTACCAATCATGGTACTTCCTGCGCTGATGAGCACTGTGGTTTTCTGCATGTGAGAAGAGTTCAGGCTTGTATGTTTTGCTCATTTGACAAAATGTACGTGTACCAATACCTGTTACCATGGTTACCCTGCGGTTGAAATATCCCAAGGTTACCCTTTTTTGTTAATTTTGTTGCTTTTTCCCTGTTTTCAGATTTTGGAAGGCAATGTTACCAGTTGAAGATGCTGTGATGCCTTCCTGCGTTCTGGTAAATACATCTGTCATCGTGGTGAGATTGGACTGACCAGCAACGAAATCTTCAAATTTAAAGATGCGGCTTACGTCATTGGTTGCAGAAGGTAAGAATTTTCATGCATTCACAAAATGTGTATGTTGCCTTTTGGCCAACATGCAATAAAGATTGTGTATGTTCCTAAACTCTCCCTGACTCTCTTATATTCACTACGGCTTTCTAGACTGTGCTATACTGTTGGCTTGAAGTACATGTATGTTGGTCAATCTCACTTTACTCTTGCATTGTAACCATGGCAACATATCGTTGTTGCATTGCACTCATATTATCTTGTTGCATCAAGTTGCACCTGTAATTGTGTTTATCAGTGTGGTCATACTGTGATGGCTCATTTTGGGCATGCCCTGTTGGAATACTGAACTGGCTCATTATAACTCTGGTTATTGTCTGTGAAGCAAGGTGTAACAATCACAACTGTCTCAGAAATGTCTCTGTTTTTCCTGCAGCTCATTCTGTGAATGTGTTTCTAAGACATCATGCGTATGCTGGAGGAGACATCATGCATATGCAGGAGGAGACATCATGCATATGCAGGAGGAGACATCATGCATATGCAGGAGGGGACATCATGCGTATGCAGGAGGGGACATCATGCGTATGCAGGAGGGGACATCATGCATATGCAGGAGGAGACATCGTGCATATGCTGGAGGAGACATCATGCATATGCAGGAGGAGACATCATGCATATGCTGGATGAGACATCATGCNGAACGCTTCAGGCGGTGTTATGCAGGAGTCTTCTTCAAATGTTAATAAAGCAGACTGCACATCTTCAGTAATTTGGTTCAGCATCTTACATGTATTACCCTCTTTAGCTTGAGTGTCTTCATTTGAAATCTTCTATTTGGGCTCCCTGCCCTTATTGGAAAGTCAGAAATTGAAACCCCCATTAAATGATCCACAGTGAGAGAAGCACCTGCGCGAGAGAAGCTATTGACAGTGTGCAAGTGCAATATTGACACAGCAAATACATGCAGGTCCTCCTTCAAGAAAATACCAGTAGCACCTTCTCTTTCTGCAAATAGTGCCCTCTTTTAGTAATGACTTTTCATGTTTATTTCCTTCTTATGGATATAAGAATGTTCCAATTTCTGAGGACTCTAAACTTATAAACTGAAATAGTTCAAATTACATTTGAACAGTTGAAAGGTATAAAATTTCCTAAAATTGTAAGCAACAATATTGTAAAATATGCTGGTATTGGAATATGTTTTATGCTTACACATCATATCTTGAATACCTAAAAGATGCAGTCACTGCAGAAGACAGGTTTCTAGTGTAGACAGCATACATGTATGTTCCTTCTATCCTCACTGCTATATCTACTTTTATCCAGTCAGCAACAAGTGTCCAATATCCCTAAACAGTAAAGGAAAGGATATTGGGCTGTAAAAAAAAAGGGAAGCCTCATCTCTGGCAATTAGCATAATGAATACAAAAAGATTTTAAGTTCATTACATGTACCTGCACGGTGATGGTTAGGAGAAAGTTCTATCACGTCTATATAAAGACACCTCAAATTTTCCATAAAGTGACCTTCAGGGTATTAGCCATCTGAAAGCAGTAAAAGGTCCTAAAAAGTCAAATTTGGCAGTGAAAACAATTAAGTATTCATTTCACAAACACTTTGAATATTTCAAACTAGTCTCATAGGTTTTGTGGAGAAGGTGTCAAGGGATATCCATATATAGATAGAATTCTTCCAATCATTTTAACTGTTTTTCTCCTCTTCTTCCCTAAGCATTGAAATCATCTACCAATACCATGTCTATATCTTCTTGCCTGGTCCTTCATCAATGCTCCATGAGGAGGTACTCTCATCAGATTATGGCAACATGTGGCTTGACATGTGGACATGTGGACCGAACAGATTCCAACTGTGTTTGGCATCAGTCGGCGATCAGGAGTTGGTCACTGTAGTAAACGAATGACCCATATCAAAACCAAAATTTCATGGACTTCTACAAATCGGAAATCACCCAAAGTAATACATCAGAGTATTTATGGGGTGAGTGATCCATACACAGAAAGGGGGTTTTACAGACGGCATTTTCGCTGAGTCCCCACTTTTTGAATGGACCGCTGTGGGGCTTGGGACAAGGAGGGAGTCCAGTAAACTGTCTGGCGCTTACTTACATAAACCTCATCCGGTCATTAATTCACCTTTTCACTGTTTCAGCAATTCCACGAATACTGGTGGGATTTC